TAGTAAAATTAGAAATGTCACCATATTTTCAAATAACTCATATTCGTATATTTGCTATTGCTATATGCAATAAACAAAATGTGGTAAACTTTACTGTTTACCAAAAAGTGCTGGCATAGTTGCTTTTCCACAACAGACAATAGCTTTAACCCCCATTGTTGTAAGGATTAGTACGGTCCAGTAATTTTAATCCCAAAACAGTACGTGCAGGCAAAAAGAGAACACCCCGAAACTTGGTTTTCCTTCCAGAGGTCGTTTCAACGGACTTGAATCACTTATGAATCAACAAGGCAGTATGCCTCGTTAACTGGTGAATCTTAACTGCCCTGACTCATCAATTAACAGGGGATTAGGTCTTGGGGCGTGCAAAGAACAATCATTTACCATCACCCACCGTTATCTCCCCTTGTGGATATTTCCAAAATTGACCTTAACTCTGACAAAGTTTAAGAAATCTGAAACTAATGAATTACAATATAAAACAAGAATATAATCAATTAAAACTAAATATAATACATACAATCCTTATTTACAGATGGGTTCAAGGATGGTGGCGCGGTGGCATGTACCACTGTCCTTTGATCCAGAACAATATCTTCTCGACTACCAAATAATAGCTATATTTTCACAGCAGAAGCTAACGCCATATTAACAGCTCTTAAATATATTAATAAACACCGTAAATGTAAACAATACATCATCTTTTCCGATTCTCTTTCGTGTCTTCGGGCTATTAAAAATATTTCTTGTAAACATCCACTTTTATTAGAAATTATTAAATTGTATAATGAGCTTGCTACTGGCCAATGCGACATCGTCCTCTGTTGGTTACCCAGCCACGTTGGCATTTCTGGGAATACAATGGCTGATCTTGCTGCTAAGGCAGCACTCAATAAATCTGTGACACCACTTCTTATTCCATACTCTGATTACAAAGCTAGCATTAGAACTTACATCCGTGATCTGATGCAAAAGAAGTGGGACACCCAAGAAGGTATTAACAAATTACATGAAATAAAACCCTATATTGGTTACACCTACTTGGGTTGTCAGTCCAGATTTGAAGAGGTCATCATGCGACGATGTCGCATTGGCCATACAAGGTATACTCATGAATATTTGTTAAAAGGCGAAGATCCTCCGTTTTGCATCCCTTTGTGATGAAAGAATCACGGTCAAGCATGTCCTGCTTGACTCTGTTGAATATTCCATCCCAAGGGATAACTATTTCAAATCACGAACCATGAAGGATCTTTTAATAATGTAATTTAATTATTGCATTTTAAAAAGAATTAGATTTGTTGAATGATTTGTAGCTGAAACAAATGATATTTTTTGAACATGGTAGTATAAATTAGCAACTGCAATTGTTAGTGGCTGTATCCTCGAAGGGGTTAAAGTAGTGTAAAATTATTGTCCTCCTGAGAGGATACGTAAGTCCCAAAACTTTCAAAGTTAAATTTGTGCTTACGCAATTTTTTAAACGTAGTATATTTGTTCCTTTACAATTCGGCTAAACTTTCCTACAATCGCCAGCGGCTGAGGGGATGCTATAAATCCAGCTAGGGTCCATGCACGTAGCACAGGTACTGTAAGTCCCCGTGGTCCCTAGTATAGTGATATACCTTCAGTTGTTGGCGATCTATAGCCTATTTTATATTGGGTTGTCCCCTACATAAAAAACATTTAATCTGATGATAACTATAATGTCAGAATTCGATTTTACAGGATAAAATACATTATTTGATATTGTTGGATCTCTATTACTGGTAAATATAAATAACAAAGCATACAACTTTATGAGTGACAACTTGTTGGCAATCTATAGCCGGTTTTTATATTGTATTGTCATTTAAAAGTAACATATTTTAGATTTAATTACTAGTTTTACATGTATATATGTGATATTCTAGTTGTTTTACTGTCCTTCGTCGGCAGGTTTTTAATATATATATTCCATTTCAATGTCCAATGTTCTCGTCACAATATGGCTGAAATATTGCCGATGTGACGTTAACTAGTAACTCACTCACTCACTCACTCATATTTCCAAAATTGGAAATGTCTTGTAAACATCATCTTTCCAAAATTGGATATGTCTTGGAAACATCATCTTTCCAAGACATTACCAAGCTTGTAAATATCGACTTCTTTCCAGTGATTACACCCCTTCCCCGGGTAAAAACACCGCGAGTTCACCTTCGTGGTTTTAGGCCTAGCCACAACGGTTTTACTCGTCAATCAATTAGACTAACGTTCATCTATATGCATACAGAAGTGAAATATGAGACCCGCTCCGTATCGTTGCAAATACGTGCTTCTGGGAAAAGCCGAGACCTGTGACAAGAAATGCAGGACCGAGTACTTCGGGATACATGATATCTATCAGAAAGGGTGTCATGAACTACACGTGTTCGGTATGCGGTACTGGAGTGAAATGTCATTATGGTTTGTGCAAAACCAAAGGAGCGGATATGGTCCGAAACCAACTTATTTATGATAAGAAAAAAAGATTACCTCAACGAACGTAACAGACTACTCAGAATAAAAGTATGGAAAAAGATAGAAAGATAGAAGGTTGATAAATTAACCAAATGTCCCTGGCCGCCACAATCCCCTTTGGAAAAATTATCGAAAGATTGATGATGTTGCGCAACTTCTCCCTAGGGGATTGCGTCGGCTACCATCCTCTCACCTTGAGAGTGCCCTACCCAGAGAGACCCTTCTCAGGATCCCCTGATGTGCTCTTGATTCCTTACTTCGGGTTTGAATCGATAGGTGCAAGGAATCCACAGAGGCATCGGTGGGATACGAAGTACAATTGCAGAGCTGTGCAACTCCACATCATAAGCCCGCACCACTCAACCAATTGCGCAGCCAGGATAATGATAGCCAAGTGCTCTAGTCTATCCTGTGTTCTCACAGTCAGGTAGTCTAAAATACACTGGGTCAAGTTGTCTTAAGCTACAGAATGTCTAAGTTGCCGCAGGAACCCCATCCTAATACTACTGGACTGGTATTGTCCTGCTGGAAGATCATTCCTAAGCATTCTGCTAGAGAAACGGTATGACGACTGGTTTAACAATGTGTTCTCTGTACCTGAAACTCGTTAAATTTCCATTGATGACAAGCAAAGGTGTACCTCTAGCACTCGTTATCTCACCCCAAGCGATCACTCCACCGCCGCAAAACAGCCGGCCTGAACGATAAAGTTCCTAACTTAACGCTCACCACGTCGCCGGTAAACTCGAGTTTGGCTATCAGGGCGGTGCAAAGGGAATCAGGACTCGTCAGTGAAGAGAACATATCTCCACTCACGCGCTCTCCATTGCAGATGTTGTCTGCACCACTGAAGTCGTTGACGTTGGTGACGTAATGTCAAACTTTGTCGTGTGACAGGACGTCAAGCATGCATCCCGTGTGCAGCCAGACGCCGGCTAATGGTCCTTGGTGATATCCTGTTGACACCAGGAACTGTTTGGGCTGTCAATGAGGCTGGTTGGAATCTTTGACAGAGATGGTCGGATCGAATCCAACGATCGTTGCGTGGCGTGGCTACAGGTGGACGGCCACTTCGTGGACGGTCTGCACCAACAGCGTTTTGTCTCCATAAGCGGCACATGCGGTTCCTGTGAATGTTAAACTGCTGTGCGCTGGGTGTTCCGGTTTCATGCATTCCAGTGGCTTGCCATCTTCTATTTTCAATTAGCTGTGGTATAGTGAAATGTCAGCAGATTATTTCAAATTTGTGTTTTTCTGACCCGTCGTCGACTAAACAATGACTTGGGTGACAATGAATTGAGGTTTAGAGCCACACTACAGGGCACGTTTTATACCATTTTGAAAGCTTTTTGAAAGCACGAAGACAGCATGGAAATCAAAAACTACTGACAAGGCCCTGTTTTGGTTATGGGTCATCAGTGCTGTTGGTGGCATTGTGTCACTGTCTAAGATGTTCTATCGTTCGTACGCTCCAACTGAAGTCACTAGTAATGACTCGAGCACATTGACCAGCGTCAAGACGTTCAATGGCTTTGTTGTCGCTGATCTCACGTCGTGAACGACTGCCATTCAAAACGGCAATTTATGCATGCATGATGCATGTGCATCTCAATTTCAATGTTGTGTTTGTGCGAACTCTTCCCTTTGCACAACTTCAAATAATACTTTATTGTGTAAAACAGACTATACGACCACGATTAATTGTTTTCCTCAATCTTGACTTCCCGTGTATATTTAAAAAATAGGTTCAAATACTCCACTGATACTTTAAATGTCATCTCCAATATTACGACGATTCTTTTGCCTTTCAGTATCGTTGTTTTATTGTCCTTGGCGACAGATTTTATAAACATAATTATAGTGTATTTATTGTTTTAGTCACGATATGGCTGAAATATTGCCAAAGTGACTTAAAATTTTAACTCACTCACTCACACGTTTTGCCCCTAGCTGCATTCGTCAGATCGAGAGATCGGTGGAGTCAGCGTCATGGTGTGGGGTGGGATATCCAGTATACAAATATCTGATTTAGTGGTGGTTCAGGGAAATTGATAACAAATCGGTACATCAACGAAGTGCTTGCACGTCGCATGCTTCCTATTATGGACCGACGGAGGGAGTTGTTCCAGCATGACAACGCTACTTCACATACAGCACGCGTTACGGTCCACTACCTTGCCAATTCTAACGTCAGTGTCTTGCCATTGCAGTTCCGATCACCAGATCTAAATCCGATAGAACACCTATGGGATGACCTCGATCGATGTGTACGTCAACGTCTAAACTCATCTCTCAGACACTACACAACTGGCCATTGCATTGCAGGATGAATGGGGAAGAATTCCGCCAGAGACGGTGCCGAGAAGTAATTGCTGCCAATGGTCGCCATACAAAGTACTGACGCCATGTTGTGGACTCAAATACACAGAAAACACAACAAAAATAAAGGCTGCTGTTGTTTTGGTGAACTCTTTCTCTATAGACGTGTGAATTTTCACCAAAATATTTGCTCTTAAAACTACCGCAATAAATGACTTTTAACAATAGTCTTGTCGCACTGATGACTATGTTTTCAATTTTGCTATTGTTTGAAAATGACATTTTTATAGGAAAAAGTAATTACGCGAAATCAATTATTTTAGATCATTCAAATTCAGTTCAGCCATGTGTCAAAGTGTTAATTAGGAATAATGAATCATCATCAGGAATTAAAAAAATGACAAATAACGTTCATAATATGCTTGTAGAAACAGCATGAGCTCTATTACGCATATACCTTACTTGGTTGTAGACGCCTGTACACCCTGCACAAATTTTGAATCCAAACTTGATGTCTCATTTTATAGGGACAGTCGCACTTCGTCATACACAGGCACATCAACAAGGGGAATTCCCGGTTAGGTCCCATACTGCCCACAGTAAAAGACTGTAAAATCAGTAAAAGACTGTAAAACTTATCAGTTTTTTCATGATATATACATGTCTCCATGTAAGGACTGAGAATTCTCAGAATGAATAAAGATGACTTACAACCAACACTTATCGTTTTTAAACTTCTGTAGGCAGAGTGGGAAGAAACCATAGAACAGGTCAGTTCATTAATCAACTTACTGGTCAAGTTCATTTTAGAAGGTAGAACAAGTCAGGTCGGTGTATTCCCAGTAACTTCACTTCCTGATCACTGGATATTGTTTTAACCCGTAGACAGCTTGGAACTGTAGGCAGTATGGGAATTCACCGAATTCCCGAGATTTTGTAAACATGAAGCGTGCTGGAGGCTGATTGGCGAGGCTGACGGCCACTTATGCATTATATAAAGGCTATAGTGTTGCGTCCGGCTTCGTCATTCAGTTACCTATTGTTGCGTGCGAAATATGATTTTTTTTACATCATTGGGAAATGAATTTGCGTATGTCACAGCGACCGATTATCAAGATTTATTATCACTGGCAGCTCGTTGTTCGTCTCTGCCACCAGGAAGTGCTTTCAAAGTTGAGACATTGACTTTTTTACATTTTAGAGATGACTAAATCTTTGGAAGCGGCCCCGCGAAATCTTCGAAACTCCACATTACCTATGGAACTGAAACCATAAATATTGTAGATACATACGATTACCTTGGAATTAAATTCCATAGGAATGGGCGATTTGTCCAAGCAATTAAATCACTCACGGAAAGCGCCACCAAAGCAATGTATTGCCTTTTAAAGAAATCCAGGAATGTTAATTTACCTTTAGATTGCCTTTTCGATGCATTTGATGTTATGGTTGTTCAAATTCTATTGTATGGCTCAGAAATATGGGGACACGAGAACTTAGAAATAATAGAAAGATTTCACTTAAAATTTCTGAAATTAGCATCCGGTTTGAGACATAGCACCCCAAATTATATGCTTTTATGTGAATTTGGAAGAGAGCCTCTGAGTATTAAAATCTATAAGCGATTTATTTCACATTGGCATAAATTAGCCTCTGAGAACACATATTGGAAGCCATCCCAGATTATATATAACCGTGTTAACCACATCTGTGACAATACAAATAAAGTTCCATGGCTACGTTTTGTGAAACATATCCTTGATAACTGCGGTCTGTCCTACGTGTTTCTAAATCCGTCTGTATGCTCGACGCCCTGGCTTGTCTCAATGGTTGAAAACACCTATAGAGCCCAGTTTTTCCAAATTGGAAGTCAAATGTTGATTCAAGTTCCAAGGGGATTATTATAAATATTTCAAAACCCAACCAATCCTAGAAAAATATCTTCTGCTTCCAAAAAATATATACTACCCAATTTTGAAGTTTAGAACATCTAACCATAAATTACCAATTGAGACAGGCCGATGGTTGGGCATTCCACGTGAAGACAGACAATGTCCACTTTGTGTATTAAACGCTGTTGGAGACGAGTTTCACTACTTATGTAGATGTGAAGTTATTCTCCAACTGCGACGTCAGTCTCTGAACACTAAATACCTAGAATTTCCAAAATTTTCCATCTTTAAGAAACTCTTGTCTACTACCAGCATAAGCGACCTTAAAGGCCTTTCTAAATTACTGAATCATGTATTTAATGCATTTAAGAAATGAAATATTGTAATTATCTTATATCTTTCTATCGTGTAAGCTGCTATCTTGTATATTATGTAAAAGTATATACGTTTATCTCATGTACCGCCGTTGGCGGTTTGTAGAGAAAGAACAAAGAGTTTGAGTTAATTTTAGCAGGGTAGAACAAGTCAGATCGGTGTATTCCCAGTAAATTCACTTCCTGATCACTGGACCGTACCATGTAGTTTTAACCTGTAGGCAGTTTGGAACTGTAGGCAGTATGGGAATACACCGAATTCCCGAGGTTTGTGTAAACATGAAGCATGCTGAGGCTGATTGGCGAGGCTGACGGCCACGTATATAAAGGCTATAGTGTTGCGTCCGGCTTCGTGATTCAGTTACCTATTGTTGCGTGCGAAATATGATTTTTACATCATTGGGAAATGAATTTGCGTATGTCACAGCGACCGATTATCAAGATTTATTATCACTGGCAGCTCGTTGTTCGTCTCTGCCACCAGGAAGTGCTTTCAAAGTTGAGACATTGACTTTTTTACATTTTAGAGATGACTAAACAAATAAATCACAGTCTTGGAAATCGGAGAATTATTGAAAACCGGTTGAACATGTTTAAAAGGTCAGTCTCTTGGGTGGATTATATTGCAACACTTTTACAAACATTGATGCTAATAGACAATTTCCATGGAGTAAGAAGCCACACAAACGTTTATTAAAACCGCCCTATGGTACCAACCCGGTCATCAAATCAACGTGCAGACATTCAGTTTCATTTCACCAGTACATAGAAAACTAATTCACATGTAATATGTTATATATGTGAAAATTACAATGGAAATTAAACATCTACAGCTAATACATGTGTTTGTTTCAGTCTCGGTATTATTGGTATCAGTGAGTAGGTATGGACACAGTTTATAGGAATATCACAGCAGGGGACACCAGAAATGGATTTTACATATTGTACACAGTTTATCCTTGTTTCAAATTGTTGTATCACTTGTTTGATAACGGTGTTAGTACCTACACCGAAACGTCGCACTCATTGCAATAAAGAAGTTGACTATCCATAGAACTTAGTTTTCCTTCATCTTCACAACTTCTAAAATGCCTCTCAAAGAAATACATAGCACTAACAGGCAATGCACCGAGTTTGACAATTAAAACTGTGAGGTAAACTGAAAGTGCATGATTGTGATTGGTTATCGTAACATGAACTGTCCAATCGTAAGTAGTTTAACATAATTATCTTAAACACCTCAAACTGACGACAAGAGAACCTGTCTGATATTATGGAAATATTTACTCTTAGGGGTAAAAATATCTATCAGACCACCGGACAGAGCTACTTTTGACATTTGACCGCCCGAGAGGAAAATAGACCGTTCGGACTGTCGGGCCGGCGGGAATTTAAAACGCTGCTGTAATGGCAGCCAAAATAGTGGCATCACCGCATCCCTTTTACATTTAAAGTAGGTTTGGATTGGTCGTTGGTTAACGCCGCACAATAGAGGTTGAAGAATAATCCATTTTGGTTTCATGGCGTCATCACGCAAGTTGACCTTTGTGTGAACATAATTTGGACAGTGAGAATGGGCCAATAATCCCCTTCCGACCCAGGTCATGGGGTTGGAGTCATCTAAATTCCCCTAATATGCATTTTCCCACAACAACAATCGCCAAACTCATACAGGTATACATTTGAAATCATAACAACAATGTGTGATAATGTCATAATTCAAAATAGAGGATATTACTCTCACAGACCTCTGGATACAACAACTCAGCAGTATTCCAGCTATATGGCGGCGGTCTGTAAATAATCGAGTCTGGACAAGACAATCCAGTGATCAATGTCATGAGCATCGATCTTCGCAACTTGAATACAATGACACGTGTCAACCAAGTCAGCGAGTCTGACCACACTTAAAGTAGGATTTGCTGACGCCGTCGGTTCCAAATGAATTCCCGTGCTTCAAATACTCAATAACATCCGGAAATTGTCCAACACATGATGTTTATCTCCTAACTGACTCACTCACTAATACCGACAAACACGCGTATTACCTATAGATGTTTGTAAACATGATAGTGTCAGTAGTGTAGGTACTGAGTATAGAGATAACAACTATTTTCCCTTTTTATCGACTAAAGTGTAGAATGAGACTGAATGTTTTATCATGATCCGACAAACCAGTGACTGAAAGAATGAGCAGCAAAGATCAACGCCATATACACATGCTCGCATGCAATCAGGAAGGAAATTACGCACCTGAGATTTGTATTGTTCTGCTTTCATTTGTAATTTGTTTATGTAAACAAAATCAAATTGGTCGCATGAGCGTTGACGGTTCATATCATCATCAGTTTGCTGATATCTTCTGGCCAATCGGCATATAGTCGGATGTTGGGAAGTCCCCATATTTGCTTATCAACAACGAAATCAATTGATTTGCCAAGTTATCGATCTGTGAGTACAGTTTACTAAGACGAACTGCACGTGATACCCGCCTTTAATCGTTACTCGTGCATATCTTACATCGCTAAATGGGGCACCGGAATGTTCAAAATAATCATACAGACACGCATACTTATGATATGAATGTGACTGTGTTGAATTCTCCATCATAAAGGGATATATATTTTAATGTCAAAACAGTAAAAGGACCATTTTAGTAATGTTAATTATCATTTAATCATTGATTTTTTAAAAGAGATAGATCTGTTAAATGAATTTTGATATATGTTTTGTAAATAGATAAGGTTTTATAATTGGTAGTTTAGATTATCAACTTCGATTGTTAGTGGCTGTACCCTCAAAGGGGGTTGAAGTATTGTAAAATTATTGTCCTCCTGAGAGGGTACGTAAGTCCCAACACATTTAGAGTAAATTTAGGCTTGCCACGTTTTTAATCGTAGAATATGTGTGCTTTTAATTTATGGCTAGATTTCTCTTCTGTCACCAATTTCTGAAGGGATGGGTGTAAATCCAACTAGGGTCCATGCAGGTAGCAAAAGTAATGTAAGTCCCCATGGTCCCTGGTACGGTGATCTACCTTCAGTTATTTGCGATTTATAGCCCATTTTACACTGTATTGTTTTTTTCCCCTATAGGTAAAACGTTTTTAGATTTATTTACTAGTTTTACATACATATCTGTGATATTCTAGTTGTTTTACTGTCCTTCGTCGGCAGGTTTTTATAATATACATATATTTCATTTCAATATTATATGTTCTCGTCACGATATGGCTGAAATATTGCCGATGTGATGTTAAATGTTAACTCACTCACTTACTTATGATATGAATGAATGGCTATATGGGTTAAAAGTCATAAATGCTGCAATAATTGTTTTCAAGGTTACATATCACTTACCACAGTGGCGTTAATGTAACCTCATGTAAACAAAACAAAGATGACATGGCTACGTTTTACGGTAAGAAACTGCAATGATTCCAAATCATGTGGACGAATACTACAGAGTGATTCCCCCTTAATTCCCGGACTCGAATAACAAGTTGAGTTGATCGTGCACCGAGCATTTTCTGTCAGCTCACTTTACTCTGAAAAAAAATCTGTATGTTTACTGAAGCTTACTGTAATCATATCCAAACCCTAATATATATGAAGGAAGTCCCATGAATCCACTTACTAAAATAAACTGCACAAATAACACAAAACCCGTGCATTCAAGATGCTGTATATGTCATGCTTCAATGGGAAACCCATTTAGTGCACAATACACCACGATATTTGATGTGGTGTGTGTCACAACTGGGCAGACAGACTTCCTGTTCTCTCAACAAGGAAGGTTGAACAGCTATTGAACAAAATAGGTAGAAAATAAACTCGCTTTCTCAACAGTAATAGACAGTCCCAGGTGCCTGTTCCCTCCACGGGGCAATTCTCAAAAGTCGGAAAGGTAGTTTATCTGGCTTTTGTCATACTAACTAGATCACTTCTCAAGGATCACTTCTGGAGGCCTGTCTCACTCACTAACCCCCCTCCCTTAAACCCCTTGGAGGTTTGCAGTCTAGTGTTTAAAGCTCTGTTTCGTCAGGTTACAAATACCAACTGAATATGGACTCGCAAATATACTGATGAACATTATTTGAGCAGGAGTTGGCGATGTTTATATTTTTGTGTCCAAACAGGTGATCATAACTTCTTTGAGGCATTTTGAGTGAGTGAGTGAGTGAGTTAAAATTTAAGGTCTCATCGGCAGTATTTCAGCCATATCGTGACTATGAAAGTTGTAAATTTGTAAATGTATACATGAAATAAAAGCAAACTTATATACTTACCTGCCTGCAAAAGAAAGTGCAGCAACTAGTCTATCGCAGATAGATATTTAAAACTAGTAATTAAATCTACAAAAGGGTTTTAAATATAGAGGACAATAAAGGATAAAAACAGGCTATAGATCGCCAAGAACTGAATGTAGATCACCATACTAGGGACCATGGCAACTTACAGGACCTTGCTACCTGCATGGACCCTAATTGGATTTACACCATCCCATGACATGGTTACTATTAGCATATATTTTCGCAAAATGCTGGAAATATTGACAAAACGCTACTTTCAGCGACTGTATATTCACTGTTGTGAATAATGGCGTCCTCCATCTGTGTCACTCGGATGCGATCGTGCGGAAAATATCGTTCGGAATCGTTCGAGTTTTCGAGGTAAAAGTTCAAACGGTATCTGCGAATGTTAACTTTCGCGATTTGTTAAGCTGTGTCCTGATTAGTGAATTCAAAAGGTTAGTCGACGCCACCTTCTACTAGGGTTTGTTAGACTCAGTATAGCAGTGTAACGAATAATACTGAGCCTAAGTTTACTTAGACTAGGGACTACCAGGATCGGCAAATCAGAAGACTACCAGCGCCACCTGTCACCGCTCAACAACTGGAACAATGTACCCTACAGGAATGGCAACGGATCACGCCTAACGCCATCATCAATGCGTCGACGCGTTGTGGCGAGTATTGAAGCCAGTGGTGGCCACACTCACTATCGATTCATTTGATGACATTTTGCAGAAAAAAAACCCCCACCTTGTTGCTTTGTGTAAACGTCCAGACTATGATACCATGTGTCTTTCGGTGTAAGTCAAACTTCTCTTTCGACTTTGTATGAAATGAAATTGTGTACATTTGCTGTAGAATTGAATATCTATTGAAATTAAACAGAGGTTCATTTATGTATGCTTTTCTTTTCTTTTCAAGTTTAGACAAACACACTGCATACTTTCTTTGGAGCACAAGCTTATTTTATGAAAAGTGTTGTTGTGCTTGATAAAAGCTCATGTGAAAATAAATACCTTAAGTGGCTGACTTGTTAACAACAGGGCCGAACGTGGTACCCGGTTTGATTACATGCTTTTGAGTGAGTGAGTGAGTTTAGTTTTATATTCCAGTATATGGCGGCAGATGCTTTTGAGAAGGCCTAACCTTGCGTTGAAAATGTCCAAGTGAAGTGATAATACTGCCTGATTGCATGTTGGTTGATCCTTTGACCGGGTTAATTCCAGCCTGTGGTTCCAGCAAACGTTTGTGTGAGCCTTCCTCTATGGAAATTGTCTATTTGTATTATTATTAGTAAAAGAGGCACAAAATATTCGTTAACAAATCCACCAAACTAACTTACAATCAAAACATAACAATAAACAAAACAAGTACTAACTTTAACAATACAAAAAACAAAACATAAACTTTAACAAAACAGGTACCAACTAAAACCATCCCGTAGTTCATCTGGCAAATTTCCGAATTCAAAATTCATACAATTTTAAGTTTCCAACCCTAACGCTTTTCGTCAAATTCAACTGAAAGTTGGTCCCGTGTTACACGCGTGGTAGACGCATGTGTGTCTCGTTGCACACACGTGTGACACGAGACTCAAACACATTGCACACCCGTGTGACACGAGTCTTAAACGCGTTGCACACCCGTGTCCAATGCGTGTTACACGCGTTTTGAACGCGTTCAAGGGGAATGAATTTTTAGGCAGTAGTGTAAGCATGTTAAACTGGTTTTGAACGATTCCCCGATATCTAAGGCTGTGATGGATTAGTTTAGTCATCTCTATTATGGCAAAGGTTATGTACCTACTTTGTAAGAACTTCCTGGTGGCAAAGATGGCCAACCAGCGTGTGTGTATTGCAACAATTGTGTACATTATAGATCACTGAGGCGCGAAGCCACACGTTATACTGAAGCTTCTATACAAATAGCTGTCAGCCTCGCCCATCAGCCTCAATATGAAACAAGTCTATGTAAACCTCGGGAATTCCCCTATGGATGGTTGATTGCCTGTGTATGACGTAGTGAGAGTGTCCCCATAAAGTTTGGATTCAGAAGTTGTGCGGGGTGTACAGGCGTCTACAACCAGGTAAGCTTTATGTATAATAGAACTTCCTTCGATCATACAAGCGTATCCCAGCGGGCAAATCAACGTTGTTTCAACGTTGAGAATAGGTTGGTCCTCAAGGTTGAAATTAGGTTGAAAATAGGTTGTATATGAAACTTTTTAGACGTAGATATCCGACGTGGAATCAACGTTGAAAATAGGTTGTATATGAAACTTTTTAGACGTAGATATCCGACGTGGAATCAACGTTGAAGTTTTACATATCATTAACGCTGAACATGGATTGTTCCGTGGTTGTGTATGGGAGTTTTTTTATATTTAGAAATCTAACGTAAACACGTGAAAATTCAACCAAGGTTACAATTGTATTCCGCATTCCTGTAAATAGACTCGCAATTCAGATTTAAACTACACTAAAGTAGCACTAAACTCATGCATCCAGTTAAAATACCCAAAAAGCTACCTGCAATAAACAGCGAACAGAAAATTACAGTAAAAATATTTACCCCATAAAATACTTGGTTAAAATTCCACATTCAATATAATGTTCATTAAGTTTTATGTCAGTTGGAAGTATAATTCCAGTAAGAAGGAAAGAGTATTCCAAATTAAAAAAAACTATTTACTGTTGTATTTTTATCTTGAAAAGAAGGAAATCGTCCCGAGAAGATATTTTGCCTTAATTTCAGCTATTACATAGACCCCTAAATAAATACAATGCAATTACTTTCACCATGAAAGGAATCTAAGATGACCATGAACTTTACCTGAAGACAGCACATAAAACAAGTCACTTTTCATGAAATCTTTATTAACACACACACGGAGAGAAATTGTTTACTTTAGACTAAATTTAAAGCATAATGTGAAACATCATACATGACATAGTCTGTAGGTGATCTCTGTTGTGCTAATATCACAATATCATCTGCATATAGCATTAAACTGACATTTACGCCACCAATTTCAATACCACAGTTCAGATCTTTCAACACAATTACAACTCCAAAAACACAATTATTAGCTTGTCGTCTTTCTGCCACTCCCAGCCCTGACGGTGGATACTTCAGAAAGTTTCCTAACTCTTTCTTGAAATTTGCTTCGGATGCATTCCCATCCTGAGATAGGACACATTCTGAAATATTTATATTTAAATACATGTATATGGAAGAAATAGTGTCTTTAATTGATTAAAGTATTTGTTTAATCAATCACTTGAAAGGTTCATTTCACTGCTGTGACTTGGCATGTGGCATATGAACAGCATCCATACAAAATATGAGGAAAAGTACTTTTATAGTGTAAACAATTTATATATTTAACTAAAGGAATGGAGTCTTCTTGAAACATTTTCAAAGAAAATCCTCAATTGCAAGTTGATTATTCAATTAGACTATGAATTAGAATGAATTAGACGATGCTTTACTGTCATATATTATTTGCTATGGTCATGATGAAAATGCTAACAAAGAGCATTTGGTAATTAACATACCAGAGATGACTGAAAACAATCTTGTATTCTTAAAAGAAAACTTGCTGTTTCACCCATCAACATTCATTCTTGACATCAAATTGTTTGACATTGTCCTGCAAAACAATGGAAGTTTGTTGTTATTCTGTCAGATTTAGTTTTTAGAGATTCCCGTAAATGATTATTTTAAATTAAATAGGTGTTGTACTGATGTAGCAATTTTGCTAACAGGAGTCATAAATTGTAACAAAAGCAGTTTTGTACATTACAGGATGACAAAACAAATTGGGTGGTAATGAAAGAGCATTATCATCTTTCTCTTAATCTTTGTGATGGCGATACTGGCAAACAAGTGAAATGTTAAAAACTTGTTACCTTAGCATTGCTCCTTTCATGTTATCCACAAAATTGATGCCACCCAATCTTCCATTGAAGATAAATCTTATTTTTCATAATTAAATGTTCCTTTCTAAATTACTTCTTTTATATGTAACATTTTAACCATTAAGAGATATAGATCATCACATCCCTTCAAAACCAGTGTAAGAATGAAAGTCTATGGGTGCAGTTTTGTTAATTGTCCCATCAAAGAATCATTAGTGAAGTTACACATTTTGTAAATAAATAAAATTTCAAGTAAATTATATACAATTTCACCCTTCACAAAGACTTGCACAAGACATATTGATGTGAATTTTTGTTGCATGATCTGAGGAAGATTTCCTTTCGCCATTCTCCATTCCACACACACACACACACACACACACACACATACACACACACAAATTAATATACATATGCTGACAGGGTTCAATGCACAATTTACTAAAAGATCTAATCAAACGAACAAATTTTTATGATAATGTGATGTAATATAAAATGTTGTTAGATTCTATTTGATTTTGTATAGCTGCCCTTATATAGATGTATTCATTGATTATTTAAAGATGTATATTTGCAAAATCCAAATCAGGTGATGTGTACGAAAGGAAATCTTATTCGATTATATAATGAAATGCCAAATATATGCATGCAATAATATTGAAAAATAACAAAACAAGTTCATGGAAAACATGGGCTTCCACGAAATTGAGAAACACGTACGTGACATACCGGTAATCTTATGAGATAAACATCAGCCCAAATTCGGAGTTTCCTGCTACATTAACATGTTAGATTTAAACAACATTCTTAGGTTTTCATTATACATGAAGGACATACTTACCAAATAAACACCAGCATGCCGTGAAGCTGTTGAAAATAAAACGATATTGCGTTGAAATTCGCCCAAGTGAAACGCCGAACTATAAATAGTACTGTCGGAAATAGAAAAACTCTGTTTTTAGGCTGTTACTCTGTATCCCCAAAATTTACACAATTGCAAATAGCATATGTCGAAATAACCCACTGCGGCCTAACTGGGCGTTCAGTGGGATGCGTAATACGATATCCAGAAAAGCATGTTTACTCGTAAAATCGGGCAAAACTTTGAAAAAAAACTAAAAAGCTGCTGAAAAGAATAGATCAGACTATAGATAGCAATTAGGTCGCTCAGCCAGGTATGACGACGGACCGTCGACTCACCTGGCATGAAATGCATATTCTGCCTACAGACACAAGGGGTCATCTCAAAGAGATATTTTGTGCTTTTTCATGTGTGTTGACTATGCCTCATCTATTGATTAACATCTAACGTGTCTTTCTTTCATATAGTTTTATATAGTTTATGTTGAGATATGTAAAAGAGTATGATACCCGAAAACCATAGAAACGCATCGTAGTATATAGGTGGCATGACCACCCGAAGATCGACAGGACTGGATATTATTTGTAAATTGTTATGACGTGCCATGTACCTCCCCAGTATAATTGCCCTAAAGGATTATCTTATCTTAGCTGATATCTCTATCCCCAAGCCCGACCCCATGTTTTGCTTTTGAGACGACCCCATCCTATCTGTTTCTTTTTATAGTGACAGTGAGACTGCATGGTAGCTACATCCTTAATAGTTTCGGCATAAAAGTTATTATTTTTACGTCAGCTATCGTTTATAATGAATCTAAGTCTAATTTCAAATTGGGCATTTAAAAAGTGTCCTTTGTAATACAATATCGTCGCACACTAATTTGCATAAAGCCATGGTCTGTTCCAAATAAGTCTTTTTGGACCCATTGCTCATTTCTGCACTAATTTCCCTTCAGTAAAGTCCCTTTTCTCCGTTTCCTATCTCTCTACCACTGAGACTGTAGTTAGGCCGAACTTAGATTAACAGATATTTCACACTTTCACATATCAACTACATAAATTGTAGAGATAAATGAGAAAATACAGTTTTTTTCTATTTCCGACAGTACTTTTTTTTTAACAACGATCAACTGTCTTTGTGAGCGCGATTATTGTGCGCATGTCCGGATATGACCAAACGAGGCGATCGGTAGGTCAACATCTGGCATGTGTTTGAAAGCAAATTGTCGGAAATTATAAAATTTTGACAGTTTTGTGGGAAAATATCAAATTTAAAGCATTTCGGATAAATGATGACTTTATACCTAAAATCATTTATTTTTTCATTTTCAATTACGATTTACGTAACATTTCATTCCGATCGATGCACAATCAAACAATATGTTAGATTTATATCTAGAACTAGGTCGATCTGGATCTTTTATCAAATTAATGTTCAGAAATGATAGATGCTAAGTTGGATACCTATTACCAATATATATTATGTATCAAATTTACCAAGGAAACAATAAGTTGACATTTTGTTAGTTTCTTACGTTGAAACAACGTTGACAACGTATATTCCTCGTGTTCACGGTCAAGCATGTCCTGCTTGTATGTCCATTGATTTTTCCATCACAAGGGATAAATATTTCAATGTCCAAACAATTAAGGATCATTTTTATAATGTTAATTTTCATTTAATATTTATTTTAAAAAGAAATAGAACTACTAGATAAATTTTGAATAATATGTTTTGTAAGTAGATGAGTGGTATTTTATAAATGGTAGTTTAGATTATACAACTGAGATTGTTAGTGGCTGTATCCTCAAAGGGGGTTAAATTATCGTAAAACCATTGTCCTCCTGAGAGGGTACGTAAGATCCAAAACTTTCAAAGTACATTCAAACTTACCAACCTTTTTTACAACGAGGTATTTTTATGGTTTTATTTTGGGCTAAATTGTCCTACAATCGCCAGCTGCTAATGGGTGGTGTAAATCCAGCTAGGGTCCATGCAAGTAGCAAAAGCATTGTAAGTCCCCATGGTAAGTCCCTGGTATGGTGACCTACCTTCAGTTGTTGGCGATCTATAGCCCATTTTTATATTGCGTTGTCACTAAACAGTTTACTATTTTATATGCTCCCTAACTAGTTTTAAATAAAATGTGATGTACTAGTTGTTGTACTGTCCTTTGACGACAGGATTTTATAACCTTTAAATACATTTCATACCTTTTTATTGCTGTATAAGGTTCTCTCGTCACGATATGGCTGAAATATTGCCGATGTTCCGATAAATTTTAACTCACTCACTCACTCCTCGTGATGTTGGTCAGCATGAACGCCGACGGTTCTTGACGTCATTAAGTTTACTGATATCTTCTGGCCAATCAGCATATAGTCGATAGATGTTGAGAAGGCCTCACATTTGCTTATCCACTACGAAATCAATTGATTTTTCAAATGACCGATCTGTGAGAACAGTTTACTGAAACTTGATGCTCGTTGCATAGCTTATATCAATGAACCCGTTAAGATCCGGGTTAGAATTGATCTTCAGTAACCCATGCTTCTAAGAAGCGACTAACAGGATCGGGTTGTCAGACTCGCTGACTTGGTTGAAACATGCCATCGCATCCCAATTGCAAAGATCGATGCTCATGATGTTGATCACTGGATTGTATGTCCAGACTCGATTATTTAGAACCGAAGCTATAAACCTGCGATATTGCTGAGTTTGGTGTAAAACTAAAGTCACAGACTTATTTATATTAATAAATGGGGCACTCGAATAACCATACAAACACGCATCATAATGATATGAATGAATGGCTATGTGGGTTAAAAGTCATAAATGTTGCGATAATTGTTTCCAGGGTTACATATCACTTACCGCAGTGGCATTAATGTAACCTCCTGTAAACAAAAATAAAGATGACATGGTTACATTTTACTTGAAGAAACTGCAATGGATCCAAATCATGTGGACAGATAACACAGAGTGATTCCCCTTTAATTCCCCCACTCGAATAACAAGTTCAGTTGATCTTGACAAAATTTTCTATCAGCTTAACACGGTGATTACCGCCACGAGTATACTCGTAGTGTCAATGTTGGCCCAGTTTGCCACTACGAATTATCTCATAGCTACATCAGTGGTGTTATAAAACAAGTTTCACACGTTGGCAAACCGGCACAAGAAGCAATTGTCTCCTGGCGGTAACAAAGAACGCAAGGAGACGTTTGTATCTTGTGCCTGTTTGCCAACATTTGAAACTTGTTTTAAAATACCACTGATGCAGCTACGAGATAACTCGTAGTGGCAAATTCGGCCAGAATTGATGCTACGAGTATCCTCCTGAGAGGCAGTCAACATGTTAAGTGCCGCTGAAATCATCTATGTATGTGTATATATTTACAGAAGCTCACTGTAAATCGTATTAAAAAAATATGAAGGAAGTCCCATGAATACACTAGTATGCGAAATTAATCTTGTATGCGCACCATATCACAAAAAGTCGAATTTCATATGCTGTGTATGTCATGCTTCATTAGGAAATCCATCTAGTGCACAATACACCCGATGGTTGAATTGATGTGTGTCACAACTGGGCTGGCAAACTTCCTCTTCTCTCAACAAGGAAGAGTGAATGGTTATTCAGCACCTGACCTAGAAAATGAACCCCCTTTATCAACTGACATAGATAGTCCCTAGAGTCACTCAAAAGTCAGAAAGGTAGTTACTGAAAAGCACGTCTGGATGCCTGTCTCACAACCAGCGATCTGTTGACCGAGTTAATACCTTCTTTATCATTCGCTCTTATTGACCATCTTAAGAGGTTTCTCGTAAAATGTAACATTTTGTTTGTATGTTATTCCCCATGGTCCCTAGTATGGTGATCTACCTTCAGTTGTTGGCAATCTATAGCCTGGTTTACATTGTATTGTCATTTCTAGTTAACAAGTGTTAGATTTAACCTCATGGAATATCACTGAAGGAAAAACTGTGACGTACCTCGAATACATGAAATACTAACACGTGAAAATCTGGGTTAGAATTGATCTTCAGTAACCCATGCTCGTCGTAAGAGGCGACTCATCGGGTGGCCAGGCTCGCTGACTTGGTTGACACATGTCATCGTATCCTAATTGAGTAAGTCGATGTTCATGCTGTGATCACTGGATTGTCTGGTCCAGACTCGATTATTTACAGACCGACACCATATAGCTGGAATATTGCTGAATGCGGCGTAAAACCAAACTCACTCACTACAGGAAATACTTCGACGAAATCAAGTACATACTGGTAGTACTGTGAAGAATCCTAGAGTATGCTGGTAATACGGACGGTGTGCCAGTCTTATGGTTAGATTCCCCAGATGTGTGTAGCAAGCCATTTTTTTGCGTGTAACCACGACAGGTTGCAAAGTTTTATATTAGATAACATTGAGGGCTTGCCCAACCTTTTTAGCAACAATCATGAGTAAGCCCGGGCCTTTTTGACAATGGTAGCCATGCCCCTGCTGTGATATTGCTAAAAGCAGCGTAAAAGCCCACTCACTAATACCAATAACACTGAGAAACAAAGACATGTATTGGCTGTAGATGTTTAATTTCCATGGTAATCGTCACATATATAACATATTACATGTGAATTAGTTTTTTCTCCTCTGAGCATAATTTTAGAGTATATACTGCGTATAGAGCGTGTAACTATTTTCCATCGGCTAAATGAAACTGAATGTCTGCAAGGTGATCTGTTGACCGGGTTGGTACCATCGGCCGTTTCTAATAAACTTTTGTGTGGCGTCTTGCTCAATGGAAATTGTCTATTAGTATCATTGTTTGTAATAGTGGCTCAAAATAATCCACCAAGGAGACTGGTACAAACATGTAAAACTGGTTTTCAATAATTCTCCGATTTCTAAGGCTGGGATGTTTTGGTTCAGTCATCTCTAAAAATGCATAAAGTCCAGAACTTCCTGGTAGCAAAGACAAACAACAAGCTGTCAGTGAGAATAACTCCTTATTTTAGGTCACTGTGACATCCGCAACGTCATTTCCCCACACTTAAAGATGTAAAAAAGCATATTTCGCGGGCAATAATAGGTAACTGAATCGCGAAACACATGCAACACTATAGCCTCCATATAAGTGACTGTCAGCCTCGCCAATCAGCCTCAGTATACTACAGGTTTACACAAACCTCGGGAATTCCCCTAGTCGATGTGACTGTGTATGACGTAGTGAGAGTGTCCCTATAAAACGAGACATCAATGGGGCGGGGTGTACAGGTGTCTACAACCAGGTAAGGTATCAGTGTAAGAGAACTTTTGCTGATTCTACAAGCATATGAACGTTATTTGTCAATTTTCGTATTCCTGATGATGATTCATTATTCCTAATTAGCACTTTGAATCTTCGCTGAACTGAATTCGAATGATCTAAAATCATTCGTGTAATTTCTTTTTCCTTTAAAAATGTCATTTTTAAAAGATCGCAAAACTGAAAGATGTAGTCATCAGTGCAACAAGACTTGTACAAAAACCGCATATGCCACTTTTAGAAGAATTTATTGCGTTAGTTTAAGAGCAATTATTCAATGGTAAAAAGGTGAACATTCACACGTCTATAGACAAAGTGTTCGCCAACACAACAACAGCCTTTATTGTTGTGTTTCTGTTTACTTGAGTCCACATGATGTCGTCAAAGTCAGTACTTTGTATGGCCACAATTGGCAGCAATTACTCCTGGGCACCATCTCGGCACAAACTGGATAACTTGACGACGTCGCTCTTGCGGAATTCTTCCCCATTCTTCCTGCAATGTCTGAGGCGTGTTTTGAGGTTGACATACACATCGATCGAGTTCATCCCACAGGTGTTTTATCGGATTTAGATCTGCTGATCGGGAATGCTATGGCAAGACATTGACGTTAGAATTTAGAATTGGCAAGGTAGCAGAACTTGACGCGTGCTGTATTTGAAGTAGCGTTGTAATGCTTGAACAACCTCCTCTGTCGATCCATAATCGGAAGCATGTGACGTGTGAAGACTTTGTTGATGTACCGATTTGCTATCAAATTTCCCTTAACCACCACTTAATCAGATCTTTGTGTGCTGGACATCTCACCCCACATCATGACACTGTACCGGCCGAATCTGTCGACCTGTCGAATGCAATTAGGGGCAAAATCGTTCTTTTCTCCGACTGTAAAAACGCTGTCTTCCATCTCGCCGTTGAAGAAGAAATCGTGATTTATCACTGAACCTGACTCGCCTCCAGTTTCTAAGGTTCCACTTCCGGCCACACCACCGCAAGCGACTGCACCGATGGAAGTCTCTCAAAGCAGGGGCGAAAACTGGCCTTCTTGGTCGAATCCCCACATCATGCAATCGATTCCTGACAGTTTGGTCGGAAATTCTTCTCAAACCAGGGTGTGTTATGCAGTCATTCCACGGCTGTGGCAAGACATTGACGCAAGTGAGCAACCGGATGCAGTGGTCCTGGGCTTGGGTGGTAACTCTTTGACGGTCTCTTCTCGGGCGCTCTAGGGCCAAAGATTCCAACCAGCCACACTGACAGCCCGAACAGTTCCTGGTGTCAACAGGATATCGCCAAGGACCATTCGCCAGTATCTAGCTGCACACGGGATGCGTGCTAGACGTCCTGCCTCACGACAAATTTTGACATTACATCACCAACGTCTACGACTGCAGTGGTGCAGACAACATATGCGGTGGAGAGTCCGTTAGTGGAGACATGTTCTCTTCACTGACGAGTCCAGATTCCTCTTGCACCGCGCTGATAGCCGAACCCGAGTTTATCGGCGATGTTAGGAACTCTGTCGTTGAGGCCGACCGTTTTGGAGGAGGTGGAGCTATGGTTTGGGGTGGGATAACGAGTGCTGGACGTACACCATTACTTCTCATCAATGGGAATTTAATGGGTCTCAGGTTCAGAGAACATATTGTTAAACCAGTCGTCATACCGTGTCTCCAGCAGATTGTACAGGAATGATCTTCCAGCAGGACAACACCAGACCCCAGGCGCAATATTGTGCAGACACTTGTAAACAATGCAGAGGAGCTTAAAGGCAATACGAGATGCAATAGGATTTTAAAGAAACAATGCGAGCTGTTGTATTCTGAACTTTTTTGCAGTTTAAAAAGCTGAGCTTTGTTGAGACCTACAAGCAGTCCATTACAGTAATCTAATCAGCTTTAGAGTGGTTTAAATCATACCTGTCCGATAGAAGTCAGTGCGTAATCATTGACTAGTTGTCATCTGACCCATCATATCATACGTGTGGGGTTCCACAAGGATCCGTCTTAGGACCGGTTCTTTTCACCTTGTATATAAAGGAGCTTGGAAGTGTCGTGGAAGGACATCACTATGCTGATGACTCTCAAGTCTACAGATCCATGGAGTCAAGGCCACTTCAGGCGCACAGGGCTTTGAGTGAATTGAGCACTTGTTGTGAAGACATCAAGGTGTGGATGCATTACAACAAACTAAAACTGAATAGTGACAGGACGGAATGCATTGTCCTGGGGCCACAGAAAAGGAGATCACAGTGTGGTCTTACATATTTTAGGTTTGATAATACAAACATCCAAATCGCTGACAAGGTCAAAGACCTTGGTGTGATTATCGACTCAGATGTGTCACTGGATGATCACGTTTCCCATCTAGTCCAGAGCTGCTTTGCTCAGTTGCGTACTATTGGACATATCCGACCATATCTCACCACCGAATCTGCCACCACTCTTGTCCTATCTCTTGTTATGAGCAGGATTGATTACTGTAACTCTCTTCTCGCTGGTGCCACTAAGACACAGATAAGGAAACTTCAGCGTGTGCAAAACACTGCTGCACGTATAGTGACCCAGTCACGTAAATCTGATGACGCTCTGAAACTCCTACATTCTTTACACTGGCTGCCCATTCACTATAGGATTCAATTCAAGCTTCTTTGCCTCACTTTCCGCTGTCTGTCTGGATCTGCCCCTTCCTATCTGGCCCAGTCCCTCACACAGCACTGCCCATGTCGCTCTCTCCGTTCACAGGATAAACGTTTCCTCGTTATCCCCACTGTTAGGACTTCTACGTATGGTGAAAGGTACTTTTCGTATGCAGCCTCTACAGCCTGGAATCAACTACCTCAATATCTACGTGACTGTACAGAACTTTCTAATTTTAAATCTTTACTAAAGACGCACTTTTTCAGATTAGCTTATGAGTGTAAACGATAATTCATTGCATTGTTTCCATGTATCTCTCTAATCTTTTATTCTCTCCTATAGTCTGTTTGTATGTACTTCTATGTCTTGCGCTTTGAGCATGTTGTACATGGAAAACAGCGCATTACAAGCATGCTATTATTAATCGGGACAAGACAAGACACCTGGTCAATCATGCGCAGATGAAAGTAGCATGTTTTACAGGGTCTGTCTAATTGAGCTCCCATGGAGAAATCTTAATCATTCCAGACACCAAGATCTTTCACGAGTCTTGAAAACGTAGCCTGGGAAGATTCTATTTAAATTGAAAAGGAGCAATTGTGAGATGGGAGATTCAGAACCTGTACCCGAGGATTAACTTCATAGTGGGCTTTTGCGTTACGGAAAGGGCTGGGAGAAAGGGAAGATAATATAGTTCAGGGCTTTGAGACAGACAAAATCCTCTACCGTACCCGTGTGTCTGTGCTGCCTCCATTCAACGATTTTAATAAAAGCTACGGGTTGCCCCATAGATTGCTATCTTGGGCATCTGCCTGATCGTAGTTTTGGGCCTAGGGTATACAATCTCCAGGGAACGCATACAGACGCCCCCGCCCCAATCCACCTTCCTGGTTGAAGGGTTCTGTGCACAGCATGTGTCATGTGTCATCACGCTGTAATACTTGTCATCTGAGGCGCCCTAATGCGTTGTGCATAGTTGCACACCTGACACCAGTAATTGTGGGTCCGCCTCGATTGTGCTTCAAGGTTTGTGAGCACGACATCCGTATTTGTGAGTTTCACACAAGACGTAAACGTGAACATCCCTCCGACATTAAACTGACATGCTTGGATAAAACTGGAATACTGTAAAACTCACGCCCTAACTCTATAGCATTGTCTGTTACATGTTCAATAAAACCGCTGGATGTATTGTGATATCATTGAGATTTTTTCTGGGTTACATCTTCTTTTTATTCTAAAAAAAAGAATAAAGAATAAAAAGAAGATGTAACCCAGAAAAAATCTCTATGTTCATCAAATATAATCTTCTAAAATGCCAATCAAGCATCTATTGTGATATCATTGACTCTTTGTGGCTTGAGCATTCTAGTTTCCCAATATTACCACACAGAATTCATGAAAAAATCAATATTTATTTCAAGAATTTTCTTCCAGCATATGTACTTATACAAAAAGCATCGCCTACCTATCATCACCTGTTTTGTACAGATTGTCTTTGCCGAAGAAGCGACGACAGGCATGACGACTCGAGTCGTATTCGTGTTACTGTACTTGTGCGGAATTGTCGGGTGCTGGGCCCAAGGTAACCTTCTTTTCCATTCTCTCTCTCACACACACAAACACACGCGCACGCACGTACAAACACACACTCACTCAGACATATTGCGCCCATGCAGGTAGCTAAGGCACTGTAAGTCCCCATGGTTCCTAGTAGTGTGATCTACCTTCAGTCGTTGGCGATCTGTAGCCTGTTTTTATAATGTATCGTCCTCTATAGTTACACTGTTTTAGATTTAATTACTAGTTTATATATATATATATCTGTGCTAGTTATTTTATTGTCCTTCTATAGTTACATTTCTGTAGACATTTAGATTTTACAATTACTAGATATGGCTTTGCCGATGTGATAAATATATATATATATATATATATATATATATTGTTGGCAGCAATAGTAACCTCAAGGTCCATTCTCTCTCACTAGAACAAACGATCACCTACACAGAGTGTGTATATGTTTATTTTAATCTGAATATCTATATTTTTTTTAATAATAGGACAACGGTAATGAAATTTATTGTATTAGGAGTAACCACAGGGCGGCTATTTGAAAATAACAGATATGCACATTGTACCCATCCCTAGATCTTTTCATTTGCGAACTAATTTCGAGGAAACTGCTTTAAATAAACACGTCAATGGAATCATTTGATATTTTGTAGGCATATAAACAACAATTGTACGATACCGTGATATTGCTCCAGATCCCTGCTTAAATCCAGTGGAATTACTCACTCGCAAAAACACGCACACACATATATGAAGACATTTTAATGTGTATGTACCATCTTGATAATCAAACAACGGTTGTTATTTTGGGGAAAGCAATAGTGACCTCAATTTCCATTCTCTCTGCGTTTTATATTGTCTTGTCATAATAAAAACAATGATTTGATACCATGCTATTGCGTCAGATCCCTGCTCAAATCCCATGGAAGTTCCAAGTCTTGAGAAGCGAGACCGGGATTACGTTATAGCAACAGGCGAGAGAGCCCTCAACGACAGGCTGCTTACAGAAGGCTGGTATGACGCTGGAGATAAAGTTCTACTTGAGTCACCACCAGACTTCCAGCACTGCGGTACTCGTTATCCAATATGGAGAAAACGTGAGTATATTGTCGGTCTTCGAATTTCAAAACGAACGTTACCCGTGAAGATCCAGGTTAGAATTGGTCTTCAGTAACACATGTTTGTCGTAAGAGGCGACTAACGGGATCGGGTGGTCAGACTCGCTGACTTGGTTGACACATGTCATCGTATCACAATCGTATCACAATTGCCCAGATCGATGCTCATGCATTGATCACTGGATCGTCTGGTCCAGACTCGATTATTTACAGACCGCCGTCATATAGCTGGAATATTGCTGAGTGCGGCGTAAAACTATAATGACTCACTCACTCAAACGAACGAAATCAAGCAATACATTTTAAGTAAATTTACAAAGCATGTTTGGGAGAGGTGACTTCAATATTCCATCAATGTCACAACATTTGTGGTCCATATCTAACATACATTGTACAAATAGAACAAATCAGTCGTTCAAGACAAATCTTATGGATAACAACTTTCCCCATTTTGCATATACAATATTTGTTGTGATTGTTGAAGCAGCTACATTGGAGAAACTTGCCGGCCTTCAACATAAGTCTAAAGGAACATAAAACTTCAGTTGAAAAATCTGATCTCAAATCTGCCCTCTCAGAACACTTTGTCAAAAATCCAAATCACTCTATCAACTGGCAACACACTCAAATCCTGGCTTCCAACATCAGTAATTGGCGCAAAAGAAAACTTCGTGAGTCAATCAACATAAGAAGATTAGTGCCCGAGATCAACAGTGATCAAGGGGTTTACCTCCCTATCATGATATTTTCAAAAGGCTATGTTAGGAATAAACATAAGTTTCTAATTTGTAATGATGAAATTGAGGTTGTTCGAGAATATCAATATTTGGGAATATTGTTTAATGCTAATGGTAAATTCACAAAGGCAATTAAGAGACTTTCGGAACAAGCATCAAGAGCCATGTTTTCCATCTTTAAAATTATCCGAAAACTACAAATACCAATTGATTGTCAACTAAAACTTTTTGATCAATGCATCTTGCCAATCCTACTTTACAGTTCGGAAGTGTGGGGCTATGAAAATTCAATCATCTTGGAAAGAACGCACTTAAAGTTTGTAAATATATTCTTAAAGTAAAACAATCTACACCAAATTTTATGGTATATGGTGAATTAGGCAGATATCCTATTGATGTTCTTATAAAAGTAAAATCATCAGCTACTGGTGTAAAGTTACAACTGAAACTAGTAAATTTCCCACATTCTTTATAACATTATGAAATTTAGATCATCTCTCCAGAATGCTGATTTCGACCAACTAAAAGCAGTCCAAAATATTCTTCAAAACGTCGGGCTCTCCTATATTTGGCAATCTCTAAAAAGTTCCCTAGCATCGACTGGCTGAAACATCATGTCAAAATCCATTAATTGACCAGTTCAAACAATCATGGTATGCTGATGCCCAAAATTCATCTAAAGGAAAATATTATCATCTATATAAAACCTCACTTACTTTAGAACCCTATCTTCTAGATCTACCATCAAAATTTCGTATCTGGTTAACAAAATTAAGAACTTCTAATCATAGATTACCCATTGAAACGGGACGATGGTTTAATATTAATCTAGAAAACAGAACATGTACAATTTGTAAAAATAATATTATTTGTGACGAGTATCATGCTATTTTATCATTTACACAGCGTAATGTCGAACGTAAGAGGATTCTTCCCTCTTACTTCTGTAATAATCCACATATGGACAAATTTATCTCTACTTCTATGAAATCAAACTTACTTCTGTAATAATCCACATCCTAGCACCTGGTGCATCACCCAGAAATCATAGACTCTCAAACCACTCTGCTATGTAAACATTACCTTATCCTTATTGTAAAAACATACCCTGTCACTGTATTCCTCTATTTCATCTCACCTCATTGATTGTACATACTTAATTATATCTCCTTCTTCCCTTGGGCTTGTATATATTTAATTTACATATCTGGCTTCCTGTACATCAATATAAATATACTGTACTGTTCACTATATCATTATCCACCTGACGAAGGGGAAAGAACCAGCCCAGAAACGTTGTGAAAAATGAATCAAGAAGTTGTTATCCATAAGATTTGTCTTGTATTACTACACCAACTTCTAAATGCCTTTGAAGAATCCCAAATCAGTCGTTTCTCCCGACATGATTAATTTTTCTGCGATAAAATTGCAATACTCATTTTCATAACATTTGTTATAAAAGTTTTCTTTCTGAGAAGACAGAACATTTTACAGTGCTTTTGACTGGTCAATCCATATATGTTCATATTTCAGAAAAGAACGGCGATACATCCACAATGTGCATTCAGACTCACAACAACGACTGTTACCTACAGTTCACCATAGAAACCAAAATGTGTGGCACGAAGGAGATATTCTATTTGAAGAAAACAATATCCTCAAGTGCATATTGTTTTGGTAAGATAATACTCTCTACGATCACAAATAAACTCACCAAAATACCATAATGAACAGACATAATATAGACAAAAGACCATAACACAGATAGTTCCACCTTGTAACTTTATTGCTAAAACCGAGATCGGTTACTTCCGTATTTCACCAGTTTGTGTTGAGCAAAGGGCATGACATACCGTTGAATGCTAACATGTATCGTCAAACTAAAGTAATATCATTTTCTATGGTAATGTATTTTATGACATTATGCCAGATATAGTATATACTCATATGAGAGAATATGATCCTAAATGTTTTTCAGTGGTACATTTATCATTCATTACCTTTCAATTTCCAGTTCGGATATGCGCGCAATAATTTTGAAGATAAGGTAATATTGTCTATGAAGAGATATAGTCTTGTCAAAGTTTGGCGTTATCGAGATAGTTCCATTCTGTAACTAAATCAAAACCGAATAGATTTAAGATCCTTTAAGGTATATTATTGATGTTATCAGCTGGGACATTACAGAACATATTCGTCAGTAATATTTTGTCTACATTGCAGGTAAACCGGGCATCCGTAAGTACCAACGTTTGAAATTCATATCCATGAAATACCTTTTTTTTGATTATTTACATGAAAGGTTAAATATTTAGCATAGATAGAGTTTGTCACGGATACGTAATAGTAAAGATAGGAGTATCAAGTGGATACTCGATAATACCATGACAAGGTAAAACTGAAGTAAATATAACCTAAATGTGGAGGAACCCACTGAAGGTTATGAGAAGGTTAATGCGATGCAATAAATATAAATGCTCCCCATTTCCTGTAAAAGCTCGAGGTGTTTCTGGACTTTGCATTGATCATATGCAGCCTGACTCGGACGAGTACAGCGTTGCTCGGGCAAATACAGCCTAACTCGTGCCAATATAACCCATGTGTGGTCAATATCGTGCACATCGGGCCAATACAGTCCGCACGGGCAAGTATGACTAGCCTTGGACTTATGACAAAGCCAGTTTGTAAACGCTGATACAGAATCATTATAAGGTAGCAAATCATAACTGTGTTATATACTCTTATAGCTACAGCTCCAACATTTAACGTGAGACCAAATGTTACTCCCAAACTCCGCAACAATCTGGCTACAAGCAAGCTTGAGTTCCGTTGTGAGTTCAGCAAACACACAGATGACGTCTTCTACACAACCAACTGGGTCGTTAACGGAGAGCTTGTCCTCAGTGAAGAACCCTTGAAGTGGAGCGGTGGAGGTGTTATAGAAACACATGCTTTGACTGAGGCTAAGCTGACCAGTGTAAACATAGCACAATTTGGATTCGAGGTACATGTTTCATTGCCATAATCCAATTATTTAAAACGGGTTAAAATGGTGAAAGTCAGGGTTTATGTTTGTTTGTTTTTTAACGATGTACACCAGGCAGTATTCCAACCGAATGGTGTCTGTCTGTAAATAATCAGGTCTGGACCAGACAATCCTGTGATCGACATCGTGATCATCCATCTACGCAATTGAGTTAGTGTTGAAGTGGCTGCAATTATTTTGCGGTAATGCCACTTCAGTCTAAAAACTCGAACTTCGCCATCGTTTCTGAACCGACTTTCATCTGTAAAAATCACTCTCTCCCAGTCGTGCCCATTGCAGTCTGCGTTAATTGTGTAGATGGGTCACGGCCATTCAACGGAAAAGCGGTAGGCTTGTGTTCCATGTCGTCGAAGGCCGGTGTTGTGACTCTTGGTCTTCCCGATCTTGGGTGGTCTTGAGCCTGACCCGTTGGCTGTAGCGGTTTATCAATTTGCTGATAGTGGCCTTGCTGTTGTTGAAGGTTCTTGCCAGCTTACTTTATGAAGTCCCTATATTGGCCATTAACAGCCCTTACTCGTTGCGCTTGCGTATTAGATTTTTATTACTTCATGCTTGCTCTGTCCAACATCGGTATTTATAACACAATCATGCACGCTCATTTGGACCAATGTCCCACAATGACGTTTTCACGATTCGTACGAAGTTTTCAGACAGCTCCATTATTATCAGAACCATGTCACGTTTTGACGTCTGTTTCTGCTTGTGTTCAAACCTGTATCAGCATTTTCGTTTCAGTACCCTAACTATTAATTATCTGCTTTTAACTTTGCTTATTTGGGAAGTTTATAGATGTGCCAGTAATTCAACTATCTATTTCCTGCTTTTAGTTTAACTACATTTGCCATATATTAGAGTCCCAGAGTTATATACACTTCTAATTTTTTTCTCATTTGGAACAGAGTAACCATCTCTAATTTTCTTTGCAACAGTTGCGGTGTTCAGTCAGAGCTAGCGTCGGAAAAGACACGGCAGCCAGTGTTCCTGTCTTGTCAGATTCGAAGTTTATAGGAATTAAGGTAAACAGTCTCGTTGGAACTAGTTTCCTTGTATCATGTATTAATCTCAGCCTGCATTTGTACAAGACTTGGTTAGAGCGTCCACCCGGAGAGCGGAAGGTCACGGGTTCGATCCCAGGCCGGGTTACACCAAAAGACGTTAAATATGGTACTTGTTGGTCCCTGCCTGGCGCCCGGCATTAATGGGTACAACAAGGACTGGTCGGCTTGGAGTCAGCATACTGTGTCTGAGTGGGGTATTCAGTGGTATCTCAGTGAGCTAGCACTTTAAAAAAAGCTTAAGTCTGGGCTAGTACAAGCAGCCACACATACACACGCATGCACGTCGTCATATGAGTGAAATATTCTTAAGTGCGACGTTAAACCCCATTTCACCTCACTTCACATCACCTGTACAAGACTGTAGTCCGATGCAACATGAACGAAAACATTTTCATGTGTTTGACCCTATTTTGCCGCGTACATTTAAACGACAGTTGCTTCTTAATACTGTTACACTTCTTTTCTATTTACACAATGCATTTTCTTGGTGGACGGCTCGTGTTATTCAGCTCTGAAAAAGCCTTTATTCCTTTCTTTGTTCCATCAATTCACTGAAACTTGAGCTCAAGCAGCAAATCTTTTCTAAAATGAAAGTTCATTGAGAATGTACATTTTACTGTCATCCACAGATATCTAATAGAACCCTTGAGCTATCAGAAGGAGAATCCGCTGACATCTCCCTGCAGTTGACGGTACCATTTGGCTGCGGGACTGGAGCCCTTGGCTGTTATCTCCCCATAGAATCAGTTCAACTTGGTATGTACATATATACTACCCATCAAAAGTTTAGCCTCACTTAAAACACCCACTATGTCTTATGTATGTATATATGGTTACATCGAAAATGAATTTCTCCACTAACTTGGGGAAACCAACTGCTTAAACTGTATGCAGATAACTTGCACGAGGATCATGCATCAGATTCCTAAAAAGCATCTGCAAATATCGTGCATGTGAATAGCTGCGTTTTGGTGTAAAGTTTTGTTAAGAATTCGCCAATTTTGATCATTTACTGAACTCATGACAATAATCTTGTCAACGTTACGAATTTGTTTTACAATACATCAGTTTATGTGTAAACAGAACCTTTAAACAGAATGGAATATTTTGCACAATCTGGTTTAGAACTGTTGACTGACGTAAGTGGCCACATTTACAGTAGTGAGTCTAAACTTTTGATGGGTAGGATATAAAGACAGAGGAAACCTTGGGGTTGAGTGAGTGAGTGAGTTAGAATTTAACGTCACCTCGGCAATATTTCAGCCATATAGTGACAAGAAATGTTTTACATAAACAACAAATTAAAGTTGCTAAATAATCAGTCATCGAAGGACTGTAAAATAACTAGAGTATCACAGATGGAGTCTAAAACTAGCATGAATATGTAAACCTATTTTATTTACGAAGACAATACAATATAAAAACGGGCTATAGATTGCCAACAACTGAAGGTAGATCACCATACTAGGAACCATGGGGACACCTTGGGGATTCCAGTTGTCTGTTTGTGGCCACATTCAGCAATATTCTAACTATATGGCAGTGATCTGTAACTAAGTCTGGACCAGACAATTCAGTGATCGACAGAATGAGCATTGATATACCCAACTGTGATTGCAATGATACAATGATATGTGTCAACCAAGACAGCTGGCCTCTTAGTCGCCTCTAACGACAAGTGGTTAAAGTATTGCAAAATCATTATCCCCTGAGAGGGTACGTAAGTCCCAAAACTTTCAAAGTAAATTCAAACTTACTATTATTTTAACTACAGTAAAATATATGTCATTTGAACATATGGCTAGATTTGTCTACAATCGCTAACATCTGAAGGGATGGACTGAATCCAACTAGGGTATATACAGGTAGCAAAGGCACCGTAAGTTCCTAGTCTGGTGATCTACCTTCAGTTGTTGGCGATCTATAGCCCGTGTTTTATATTGTATTGTCTTCTTTAATTTATATGTTTAAGTTTTACAAACTAGTTTTATATTCATATATATGAACTACATTCATAACTGTCATGCTGGCAGGAGTTATGCTTAATGGCATCGTTAGAGGATAGTGTGTGTGTGTGTTTAAGTATCGTGGCGGTGGGGTACCTAGTGGTTAAAGCGTTGGCTCGTCACGCCGAAGACCCGGGTTCCAATCCCCACACAGGTACAATGTGTGAAGACCATTTCTGGTGTCCCAAGCCGTGATGTTGCTGGAATATTCCTAAAAGCGGCGTAAAACCAAACTCAGTCAGTCAGACAGTTTAAGTATCGCCAAGTAATATTAGTATTCGTATTTCAGACATCACCGCTGATTGTGAACAGGCTAGCTTGGCTAGTTCACGTTGTGGAACAGCTATTTCAGCTACGGAGTGGGATAAAGCGGCCACAATCAGGGTATTTGGTCAAGTTTCTCAAAACCTTGGATCAACAAGTACTGTCTTGAAACTGAAGCTGGTGACCCCTGATGTATTAATTGGCAACGAGTTTTGGGCCAACTATACTGTCGGCGTCATCGCGGTAAAACTTGAATTTTCTTATACCTATTGATTCGTTTATACCTATGTGTGTCATCGATACTATGTGCCACATACGTCATAAAAGTGTTTTTCTTTGCAAACAAGTTAATTCCCGAGAAGCAAAATCAATTAAGCATCGGAATTTGTACTGTAATGCTGGGAGATATAGTCAACGCCTTGTCCGTCTGTATGTCCGTCCGTCCGTCCGTAATGATTTCTTTTTCTGAGCATGACTAACAAAACGTTCAATGTTTTTCTGCAAAAATTGGTATAAATATCAAACAAAACCTAAAGTGGTGCCATTTGCCATTTGCTGATTTTTGGCATTTTTATTTTTCTCGGTTTCCATGGAAACGATTTGGACTTAGTCTCAAAAGGGAGGGGTGAGCTTTGTTTCCGGAGCACAACTCGGAAACCTTTCAATATCTTTCAACCAAACTTGGGAGATATATGATATGGATCCCAAAGAGGTGCCTTTGGATATTTGCAGACTTTTGGCATTTATATTTTTCATGATTTCCATGGATTTGGACTAAGTGAAAAGATCAAGTTGGAAGTAACTGTCAGATGATTTATTCTTCCAAATTTCTAGGGGCCAGTGGGATTTGTCATTTTCTGATGACTCTTGTTCAAACATGCTGTAAAATATTTTAGATCTCCACTGTCTTGTGAATCATTGAATATATTCTAAATAATGATGCACACATTTAATTATGCTACGTGTATGTTCAGGTTCAGCTGATAAAGAACACAGAGCCGATAGCACGGAAGTATTGTTACGCTATCAATGACCCACACATGCGGACATTTGATGGAAGGTGAATACTGCATGACTACTTATATCTCACAGTGTTTTTAGTAATTAACAAATACCAATCAGGTTGGAAAACCTTTGGTGCAAATACTCACAGCTCAACATTGCTGCAAGGGAAAATGACATGTATATTCTATATTGTAATGAACCTATATTTAATCGGTGTTCCAATTGGCACTTGCTTGACACTCCTAAATAAATGTCAGCTTGTCTTTGGAATGTATGATATACATTATTTAAAAAGGGTACCAGTTTGATTTGGCAGTATTATTCTGTTTCTATTTGTGAAGAGACCGATAGCAGTCCCACGCCCTTAAATAGAAGTTAATGAGCCATAGGCATTTATGAAGTCTCATCCGGTAAACTAAAGTTATAACGAACCCAAAGGGTGTACTGATTGTTTGTTGTACGTTCTTTAGATGCATTTCGACTACAACATAGAGCAAATGGTCAGAAGAAGAAAAAACAGATAACTGTATCAGTCAGTTCGTTCCGCGCGTGTTAGTTTGATTTGGCGGTTTGATGTTGCCAGGTGCAGAACCTAAGTTTCCATTTTTGAACCCTTTAGTGAGTGAGTTTAGTTTTACGCCAGTTTAGTTTTATGTTGTGACATTGATGGAATATTGAAGTCACCTCTCCCAAACATGCTTTGTAAATCTCTTAAAATGTATTGCTTGATTTCGTTCGTTTGAGTGAGTGAGTCATTATAGTTTTACGCCGCACTCAGCAATATCCCAGCTATATGGAAGCGGTCTGTAAATAATCGAGTCTGGACCAGACAATCCAGTGATCAACAGCATGAGCATCGATCTGCGCAATTTGGAACCGATGACATGACTTGTGTCAACCAAGTGAGCGAACCTGACCAACCGATCCCGTTAGTCGCCTCTTACGACAAGCGTAGTTGCCTTTTTGTGGCAAGCATGGGTTGCTGAAGACCTATTCTACCCCGGATCTTCACGGGTCTTTGAACCTTTAAGTGATTGAGGCATTACAGCGAGCTATGATTTTCTCTTTGATGATTCTCTGTGCTGACTAATCAAAAAATAAAACGTCATATTGCTCACCGCAATGAAGTTCATTACAAAGGAACAATCAAAGAAACATGCACATACTGTCTGGGGAGCATCAAGCTGACGCTGAAGGAAGATGATATGCAGATTCGACATTAGACCCATAGTTTTCAAACATTGACCGACATCGTGTTTACTCTTGCCTGTTTACTTTACTTCAGGCGATACGAACATCAATACGAAGGTGTCTTCACCATGTATAAGCACGAGACCTTTCCAATCGAGGTATGTAGAGAATTAATTAATCATGTGACAGCTGTCTCGGAAATATTACGTTTGCTTTACTACCATCTCAGTGAAAGGTCAAGGCAACAAAAGCACCTAGTCGACTGACAATTTCTAGTGTATCATGTGTTTATGAATAACTATCAAACAGTGAGGATACCAGTTCAGGGTTACTCGCCATACCGGTGGCACCTGTACTAAACACATGTAAAGGCTAGTCAATGTTTCACATGAAATGAAAAAAAAAAGCTCATATGTAAAAATAGGGAATCACATCGTGTATCATTCTTGTAACTGATGCGTCAAATTTGGAAATGCCCTCCACATGTCAATAATAAGGTTTTTTTTAAATTTTCACAATACCTTGACTGTTGTAAACTTGATCAAACAGCGTCCAAATAAGAGTCGTATTACGCCCTTTGAAATCTTGGTAAGAAGACCATGCTGGACTGAACCTGTAAAGTTGTTAAATGTAAACACCAGAGGATGGACTTGAAAGATCATTGCGCGACATGCAGGGAAAATTGACCAATGGAAAGTTGAAGTCATACTGCCTTGTGAACATGACCCATAAGAAAGAAATGTGAAAATCTAAAATAAAATCAACAGAAGCTGCTTTGAGTCGCATTAAAAAAAGCTGGTAACTGAAGATATGTTAATGGTCCAATTTTACTTCTCTCTGTGTACATATCTATTCATCAGCCATAAAGAAGAATATAGGAATAATTTCATCTTTAAGTGAAGGATTTTTTTCCTGATGATCTTAGAATGTCTTTAGCACTACTATATGAATTAGAGGAATATCATTTGAACTGCAACAGGAACGCCTTATTTTCACACAGACATGATTTAGAGATATGCAGTCATATGAAATTCCATGTCATCCTGAGATCATCATGTCAGGCCGATTTGAGGGTCGGTGTTTGAATTAGTTTTGATATGAAATCATCCGATTGTACAGTGCTTTCATTTCCAATCAAATGCAATACTTCCACTGTGAAGGAAAGACATTGCCTCGACATGCCTTGTCTAGCAGGCGAGCTGGCTATGCCCATAGGGACATAACGGTAACTCCATTTTTAGCAAACGGGTTGTTATTGATTGTCCACTAAAAATCCCTTGATATGTCATATCCATCTGTCAAAGAGGTGTCACACGAGTCCATGCAATAGGACAGTCTCTGATATGGTTTATGATTATGCAAAGGGTGTTATCGCATATTTTGCATATGACCTACCTATGAAACCGTATGTTTATAAGGGATGATGTGCTCATTAGTCTGTATTTACTGTATCACAATAGGTTCAAATACAGACAGCAGATTGCGGAAGAGGTCGGTACAATGCATGGTGTAATTGTGGAGTTGCTATACGAGCTGGCAGGACAGTGTTTGAGTTCAACAGGTGCGAGGGACAGTCCAGTATCTGGACAATAGAATACACACTGTGTGAAGACAACGGAGGTGTACTTCAGGTCAAGAAGAAGGGCAGCAGTTATGAGGTAATTCATGTTTTCTTATATGTTGTATAGTCACATAGTCTCTGTCGAAGGCCATTTCAGTTGCAAAATTAAATACATGTCACCAGTGTGATCTATTATGTGTTCTATCTTTCAGGGTTACAAAGTTGTCCCTTTGAAACATGACAGTATGAACCATCTCACTGATGTAGAATAACCCACCAAAACACAATATATAAATGTTGTAGACATAACAAAAAGGTTTGTTCATTCTTGAACATGACATTTCTTTACTTCTTTTTATATTATATACACCACAGTGTACATTGCTTCTTGTTTGTATTCTTCCATATTGCCGGTTGTCGGTTCAAGCTAAAACATGATTGAAATAGTTTCTACTAACTTCACAGTACTAAATACCATAGAGAAATAATCCCCCAAGTTGAGACTATTTGTTACTCATTAAACTAAAGTATCCTCGGATTATTTGTTTGTGGATGAAATACTTTTACTATGGCTATCGTTTCCAGAAACAAACATTACAAATACCTGTGTAATGCAACATGTTTGACATGGATAATTTTGATTAATAAATTATGACAAGGTTCTAAATTGTTTCTGCAAGGACAACAGAAATTCCTACTCGTCCAAAAACTCAAAACTACTGTTCGAATAACACTCAAACCAGAATATACAACATCAAAAACGTGACACTACTTTAGGCCAGCCCAAGTGTTCCTAACCTGGAAATAACTGCACATTTATGGCTTAATTTAACAGGTGTAAGTATATTATGTAACTGTAATATATAAATGTTGCGTACTACATGATTTGTAACAAACCCATAAAACCGTCTACATCACTTCTTGACACCCCCCCGCAGTGAAGCACATGGCAAAACCGCAGTTCTCACCTTTGGAGTTACCTCCCTTGCCCCCTGGGTATACAAAATATGGATCGCAATCCGAAACAATTAAACCTTTCAGTTACAATAAAGATGAAAACAAAAACAAACAAACAAGAAAAGCAGCCACAAACATAATAAACGAACAAATAGAAGTACTTCTACTGGTAACAAAACAGAACAGAAATCCAAGATAGATTTTCTCCTAATAGTGCATGTGAAATGCCATAGTTAATTAATTTGATACGTTCACTGTTCAAAAAGAGAAACGCGTAACCATTTTTAGAAGAATATATTGCGTTATTTCGTGTGATTACTTTTCCTATAAAAGTGTCATTTTTAAAAGATCACAAAATTGAAAGACGTAGTCATCAGTGCGACAAGACTATTATTAAAAAAAACCCACAAATGCCACTTTTAGAAATACATGTATTTATTGCGTTAGTTTCAGAGCAATTATTTCATGCAATTGCAACGGTAAATAGGTGGAAATGCTATAGACAAAGAGTTTGCCAACACAAAAACAGCCTCTATTGTTGTGTTTCTGTTTACTTGAGTCCACAAGATGGCGTCAAAGTCAGTACTTTGTATGGCTACCAATGGCACCGTCTCGGCAAAGAATGGATACGTCGACAAAGTCGCTTTTGCGGAATTCTTTCCCACGCTTCCTCCGTTGGCCATTTGGTCCATCATCGGAAGCATGTGATGTGAATCATCACTAAATCAGATCTTTGTGTGCTGGATATACAACCCCACACCATGGCACTTCCCCAACCGAATCTGTCGACCTGTCGAATGCAATTAGGGACAAAACGTTCATTTCTCCGATGGTAACAACGCTGTCTTTCATCTCGTCGGTGAAGAAGAAATCGTGATTCATCACTGAAACAGACTCGCCTCCAGTTTTTAAGGTTCCACTTCCGGACTCTACCACACCTCCGCAGGCAAATGTGCCGATGGAAGTCTGACAAAACAGGGGCGGAATCTGGTCGCAATCGATTCATGACAGTTTGGTCGGAAATTATTCTCAAACCAGGGATGCGTTGTGCAATCTCCACGGCTGAGGGAAGACGATGACGCAAGTGAGCAGCCCGGATGTACCGGTCCTGGGCTTGGGTGGTAACTCTTGGACGACCGTCGCAGGCGATCTTGGGCGGACCTGGTCTGCAGGAGACGATCCCAAAGGCGAGATATGGTGCTCTGATAAACGTTGAAATGATGGGCAACTGCAGACTGTGACTCCCCAGCTTCAAGGCGCCCTATGGCGGTGTTCAGTCGTGGCACGATGATTTCCAGGCAAAAACGAATGACTAAATTACATACAACGTTTGCCTTTTATAGTGGTTGATACCGCATGCTTTTCCGCTTACTTGCACGTGCATTTTGCTTTGCATGTTTTCTCTTCTTGGTGACATTTTGGCGAATACTTCTAAAACAAGGGGGAAAATTAAAAATGCCACGTTTTGGCACTGAAGCTGTTTACGATCACACAAAGATGACGTTTTGGAAATAAATAGTATAATAGTATTGCTTTTGCCGCAGCTACATGAGACCAATATTCTCAAAATCACCTACTTTCTTTGTTTTGTGTTTTTTGAGTGTATTTGTTTAACATGTGGTACGTATAATTACCAATAACTTTGTTCCGATGAATGTCTTGGGTTTCTTTTAACAAGGATTTCAGTTACCATGGGTGTACGTGAGGCCAAGTATAGGACACAGGTCACAATTCAAGCTTTTCGTTTTAGTCTGTCTAGGTCGAATCTCATGATGTCAATCATGTTTTAATGCCGCACTAAGCGATATTCCAGTTATATGACGACAGTCTGTAAACAATCGCGTCATGACAAAACAATCCAGCTATTGACATCATGTGCATCGATCTAGAAAATAGGGATGTGCATCAACAATACATCAGCGACAAGGTCATGATCATGACGACTATTTTTAACCCGGATCTTCGCTTATCTCAACGTAGATGATGGAGAGGAAGTAAATGATTATTTTTTTGTCCAAACAAATTCTGATCTTGTGTGTATGAATTACCGTCAAATAGTGATAACGATCATCTTACTCTTCCACAGGTGTATTTGCCGACTGGAGGAAAGGTGAAAGTTACTGTCTACGGTATCTACCTCAACGTTTACATCTACCCGTCAGTCCAAGACGAGAATAACAGTCGTGGTCTGTGTGGGACACTGACTGGAAACTGCAAGGACGACTTTGTCCTCAGGAACGGCGCCTACTCCACAGATGACACGGCAACGGGTGACTGCGACACTACATACAGCAACTGGAAGAATCTTCTTACTACATTCTCGAACTCATGGAAGTGAGACTTTTATTAGATCATTGTTGTTTTACGCCGCAGTCGGCAATAGTGCAGCCACAATCACTGAATCTATAAGAAGAAATCCCGAGGTTAACATAATGAGCATCGGACAATGCCGTCAAGGAGCGATGACACACAATCAGCCATGTCAATCATTATAATTTATACAGGCTTAATTTTCCTTGCAACTTTAGTAAATCTGAATGAATAACCGAAATCCACCCGCCCATTTTATGTGGTAGTGATACAGGAATTCACATTGGAGTTTTATAATGTGATACCATGACTACAGATGTAAAGATTGTCCACATATATTCAGTTCATTGGGCTTACATTTCTTGCAACGTTCATGTGCATTTAATGTTGCAGGGTTGATAAAGCAAGTGACCTGTTTGAACCGGACGTTCATGCGTCACTGCAAGCATGGCCCCAGACAAACCTCTATTGTTCCTGTTCCCCGGATCCTGAATCACAGAATCTTGGAATACACACTAAGGAAGTTAACTGCACTGCAGCCATTCATAAGGTGTGTAACACCTTCCCGGGCTTTACAGACGTGATCCCGACTTCGTGCACAATTACCGAAAGACGAAGGAGAAGATCTGTAGGTGTCCGTTCGGAATCACCAAGGAGGTTACGTCGGGTAGGAAATATGTTTAAAATAATGTTGTTGTCATGCCATCTATGCCTTTTTGTATGACTACATTTGCAGCGCTGGACCTTATATTTTACTTTTTGAACGTATATTTTTTTATGTTTGACAATAAAGTCATACTATCATGATTACTCAAACAAAGCAAAAAGCTGTTGCAAAAAGCTGTTACAAAAAGCTGGAATACTGCACGTTACAGTTCTATTCTAAAAAAAGCATCAAATGATAACATATCAGTGTGTAATGCGACCTTGACTTCACTTGGAGGTTAAAGAGATAAAAACAATACGATATAAATTATAAAAGTAAAAAGATTATCTAAAACGAGTTTTGAGTTGCATTACGAAATCTTGCAACTTTATGTTTTGCGCAGCAAGCTGTGAATGAGTGGACAAACGGATGGACAGAGGTAAAAGCCAGGACTTTCTGTGAGAACCTATTCCAGGAATCACGATCAGTGCAAACGTGCATGAACGTTACTGGCGTTGGCATCAGCGGAAGCATTGACAACTGTATCCTGGACATTCAGGTATTGCGCGTAAAAATAGACGTTTATCTATTAAACAAAGTTAATATTTGGGCATTGAACATGCACGTATTGCACAGAGAAACAAACCTTGAGATGTTGAACATTGAAGTAGCCAGTCATGTTCTGCAGATAGCTGCCCCCAATGAGGTATTGCAAATAGAAGTAGACTTTCATGCATGTTACATAGAAGTAGACATTATATTATTGCTGCACTTTCATAATAAATCAAAGTATGGGAGCTTAAATAAATTCTGTTTGTGTGAAATGTGAAAACATTTTCATCTATATATACCGTTAGTGAATATAGATTAAATATGTAACGTATGAGAACAGATTAACATTGTTATTGTGTTTGAGTTTCTTTCAAAGTTGACAGGCACCTCGGATTTTTATCGTTTTTCTATCGACACGGTGAGAGACAAGTGTCTGCACGAGGTGTTGGTCGATCCTGAACTCCAGGTGAAGAATGGGACGAAGAACATGTCTGTCTATGATAATGTTGTGGCCGAGGCTTGTCTGAACGACTGCAGTGGCAAAGGAACATGTACAGATGGTAATACACTTAGTATTGTAAAATATATATTTGGGTGATATATGTTATTTCTTTTAGATTTCCATGTAAGAGAATATTTCGGTCCGGAATATTCTTTTGAATAGGTTGGTGTAGTGTTAATAATTTCAGTAATTGTATATTTGATCATATCCACAAATATGAACAAGACATAATGTTGACGAAAAGGAATAACTCATTTTATCAGTTTGCAAAACATACTTCCATTAGTTTTACAATAGAGATCATACCACGTCCTTCAACCAGTTAACCGATTTTTAAAATGATGACATTTAAGAAACAAAACGTAAACCAAAAGCAAAACACCCCCTTCGCGAAAGCATGTTGATTTCTGGTTACTGTGAAAGAATGTAGGTTCTTCTTCTGAAATAGATGGGTTTGAGCATCTGTCATGTTACGTCCACTACAATGTTAACAGGTGACTGTGTATGTCAAACCAACTATGGCGGCTCAGACTGTTCTGTTGACCTTACAACACCTCCACGGCTATCTGAAACAGAAACTGTTGTCACGTGTGACATGTCACGTGATGCATGTGACGTTTTGTCCGTGAGAGGCGAGACGTTTATAGACAGTGTATCAACATGCTTGGTTGAACAGATCAGGGTAAATATGTACTTATATTAACACTTGACATTCATATTTTTCATTAACTGGAAGGTTCTGCAAGAACTGACGATATACCTTGCAAAATATATCATTGCTTTTATATGATTTGTGTTTCGAGAGGGGAGATTACCTGTTAACATAACATAACACTCCATCTGAGAAAAGTGTAATTAGAAGCTACATGTTTAATTCTGTAATTGCATATGTCCATTACTTGTTAAACCTCGTTATACTTTCATTTTCAACTCCGAGATTCTAAACACATTTTGATGCTGTAGTCATGATGAGACCGTTGTGATGTCATCCTTTCAGGCTAGAAAATCAGGACTAGAAAGCGTTGTATCAGCAGTTCACATGGCAACCGTGGTCAGCATAAGCCATGCTCAGTGCAAAATCGTTGCCAGTGACAGCACCGGAAGTGAGGACATAGACTATGTGCGTGCCTACAGGATATCGATTGCCAACAGTGCCGGTAACTATGGTGACAGTGTGGGCCTGATTGTGTTTAACAGTACGTGTATCCACGCTGAAGGTGGCCGGGAATCAAAGTTCAACTGGACAGTGAAGGTATTTAACATAAATTAAAATTTAATATATTAGTCAGTAATCAAGTAACAACCTCTAATAAAAGAAACATAAAACAAGCAAAAACATCCATTTAACCACAGTGAACCTTGTACTCCAGTTGTGCAAAGCTTGATATATGTATTTCTGGATTTGTGTACATTAGAGAGTCATGTAGCTTCCTGTTCCACACTAGGGTAACTACTGTCTGGACAAAGAGACCTGTGTGCCTCACGGAGACGGACAACCTGGAAACAACTGTCTGGTGTGTGACGTGTCCGGCAACAAGCGCACATGGAAAACTGGATCAGGTAAAGTGTTTATTTCACATCAGATGTGTCATTTTATATACTGGATACCGTCATCGCTTTGAAAGGATTAATCCCATACAAAAAAATCCCCGATAAAACCCCATATAAAGATATGATAACAAATGTAACAAATTTACCTTTCCATAAGACTTGAAATATTAACTCATGATCATTCACCACGGACCCTTTATCATAATCATACATATTTTCTATGCCAAAAACTTTTGTTTATGAACCACTAACAAACAGCATTGATACAGGTCTTCGTAAAACGTTAGGCACATATTGCCTTCACCAGTGTCAAAATTCTTTTCAAAAACATATGGAAAGGCCATCTGGAAAACATGAAACAGTCAAAGTTAGTAATGAATTGCATATAACATTATGTTTGTCACTGAAACGTCGATTTTGGAAATGGCCTTCACGTGTCTCCCATAAAATCTTTTGAAAGCTTTTGAAATGTCTTGAACGGAAACACCGTCATCGAACAACATTTGACGAATAGCCGTTTGACGCTATTTAAATATTCCGTGAAAGAACATGCTCGACTGTACCTCAAAAGTTATGTTTTTTAAGCTATTTATAGCAAGAGAACAAGTCCAACAATGTATCTTTCAGAGTCGAGATGCCAGAGTGCGACTGGACAGTTTCCTCTTATAACTGTAGCTGCATCTGTCGGGGGAGTCGTTCTCCTCATCATCATCATCGTTGCTGCTGCAGTCTGTGCATGCAAACGGAGTAAAAGAGCGGGTAATTGACTGTACAATAAAAACAGATTTAATGGATTAAGATGATACAAAATTTCAATTTGCCTTTTGCCCTAACAATATGTGGACACGTCAACTACATACTGTCTTACCACGTAAAAATAACTTAAATGATCAATTGATCAAATTGTCCTGTTTCTTGACACGGTTATCCTCAGAGTTTGAGACTTTTATCAATATATTGATATCAAAAGTCACCTTTGTGCGATTTGCGTATTGTGAACTCTTCTCAGATGCTCAGATTATTAGCTCACAAGTGTATGTGAAATGTCATTTCTTTATGTTACAGGGGAGAAGAACAACGCAATGGGGAAAGAGCTCACATAGGAATGACCACACCATACTGCTCTGCTGCCTGCACACTACCAATGAGATATGCCATTCCTGGATTGGGTTATATTTGATTGTATCAATGTATTAGAAATAAAAATATGAATTATTTCACGGAAAGTAAAAAATATGTTTTAGCAGGATTGGAGCATTACACTTGATATCCTTTCAATATATATCTTGGAGATATTTTAGAATCGGAATAAATTAATCGGAATAGTCTTTAAATGTTATTACAAGCAGTTCGCACCTAAAAGTAATAATTTTGTTTTGGACTGTCTGAATTCATGGTTTATGCTTAACGACAGTGTTCACTGTTCAGTACTGAAATCAGTGAGATTGTAATATTTCTGTCAAACGTGTTTAAAGAATATATATCATGTTTACACTGATTTAAAGGAAGTATATATCCTTCAGAGACACCGGCGTATACCAACTTTGTATACTTATACATGTATATATCCCTATTCATATCTGTGGAAAACGAAAAATTGCTTAGGTCATATGTTCTCCATGCACATTGTCGGGGTAAAAATCTTATATAGCATCGTGACGTCATTTCACACATTTTGTATGCAGCGAATCTGTTTTAGGGTAGGACATGCTGACCCTCTTCCCGAATGTCATAACTGATTTTTCGTGGTCAATACACTTCATATATGATTTTTACACCTATTTTGCCCTTTACATCAAATGGAATCTAATTCTGAGGAACGTCCAGACTGGGGATTCTTTTGCAATGTCATTTCAGACTGTATATAGGTCGGAATAAAATATCTATATTTTAATAGGTATAGGAGATACTATTTAGCGTCACATCGGTATTTTTCAGCAATACTGGCGACACAACCCAGTGACTGGTTACCTGATGATGATAAAGTCGAAATCGTAAATAGATTCTGCTTCAAGGAGAGATTTCTAAGATTCTGAAAAAAGTGAAATATTCCAAATATCAGATTTAATCTACACCACTTTTTTAATGCAAAATCAGGGCCGGTTCTGTGGAACTCTCTCCATCTGGACATTAAGAACTGTACCACACTCAGCTCCTTCCAGCAAAAATCAAAACGCATCTCTTTGCAAAAGCCTACCAGTGATCAGCTCTCTTGAACAATCTTTCCTGGAAAGGGCGCTATACAATTAATGACTAGTTTTATTACTAGTATTATTTATTATTATATAACTTCTTTCGTTTTCGTCTTCACACAGTGTATTGCCATGCATACTTTAAACTTGCACTGTATCAACAGTAACTGTGCTTTGATACTCAGAATCAAAGCAGAATCATATATGCTCCAATATTATGCTCTAGTATACATCATAATAACCTTTTCACTTCTGTTTGTGATATATATATTGCGCTTTGTACTGAGATTCATCTTCTCACTGATGTACACTTTTCAGATCAATTACTTTAATGAATGACACATTTTTACATTTTGTATTTGTTTAAAGTGTTCAAATAAAACGTTTATGCTCTTATCTGGACTTTGTATTTTGAATTTTGAATGTTGCTCGAGGGTCGCAACTGTAGGAAGAAGGCCAAACAAGCTTCCATTGAAATCTTTTCAATTCGTATTTAGGAAGTCGTTTTGCTTGGGAACTGATCATGCTTTGGATGTGAACGTGATTAGGGCCTTAATATGGGAACACCCGTATCCCTGCCACCAAACGCCTCTAGAAATTGGTTGTGGTTACGCTGAGAAAGAGGCACTAATTGTTTAATGAATTTTACGCACAACACTAACATAGAAGCATGGCAGATCAGCTTTCAAAACCTGTATATCATGGTGAGACTGAAGCAGGAAAAAAAACTGTCAAGGGTGGAGTGGAACCTCCTAGTTATATCACTGGACTAACCTGCGTAAGTACTTACCGGCAATTCTGAGAATAATAATAATAATATAACAACAATGATAATATCCATTCATATTGCGCTAAACTCCACTGGGGCGTGCTCATACAAGAGTCAAGGAAAAGTAAAAACTTGGTGGCAGTACAAGGTCACTTTAGAACTACAAACGGAACAGAGAAGACTTTAAGAGACACTTGAACTGTTCCAACGACTGGGCTTCTTTGAGAGAGTCATGCAGTGAGTCCATTTAGTGGCAGCTACAACACTAAATGACTTGTAACCAAAGGACTTTTTCTTTCAGAAGAACCTGAAAACTTAACGACAATAATGTGACATACCCTTGTGCATACCAGTTATAAGGGTGGTTGGGTGGCATGACGGTTGGACCATTCACCTGTCATGCCAAAGATCCGGGTTCGATTCCCCACATGGGTACAATGTGTAAAACTCATTTCTGACGTTGCCCGCTATGATATGGCATGGATATTGCTAAAAGTGGCGTAAATACCCACTCACTAATACCAGTAATACCGAGGAAACAACACATGTGTTATCTGTAGATGATTAGTTTACATGGTAGTGTTTACATGTTTGTTATATACTGCCTTTCAAAAGTTTGGACTCACTGAAAACACTCACTATATGTTATGTACATGTATATATGTATATATATAATTACATCGAAGATTGATTTCTCCACTAACTTGGGGAAACCAACTGCAAACCATATGCAGATGAATTGCACGAGGATCATGCATCAAATTGCCGAAAAGCATGTGCAAATATCGTGCATATGAATAGCTGCGTTTTGGTGTAAAGTTTTGTTAAGAATTTACCAATGTCCTCTGATTTTTATCATTTATTGAACGCATGACAATAATATTTTCAACGTTACGAATTTGTTTTACAATACATCAGTTCTTGTGTAAACTACGGAAGCACTGAAGAGACCTGATGAAATAAAATTTATCAAGTTAATATATTGAGCGAGTTAGTATCTTGAGCCGTACTTATCTTGAGCGCACAAGTTGGTATGTTGAGCGCTCAACTTAGTATCTTGAGCTACTCAATAAGCAGTTCATGTCGAAGCAATGGAGGAGCGGAGACGCGAGTTGATTCATGCTTATTTCAGTCTTGGGTTCCAATGCAAAGATATAACACATCTTGTCAAAAATCACGGTATAGTATTGTTAGTACGCGTCACTTGAAGCGTGTTCTGCGGGGCATGTCCCTCTTTCGCACCAGATACCAGATTTGCTGATGTTACAGACTTTATTGCGGACAACTTCGACGATCTGGACAAAGACATGGTTATCGTTGGATGCATCAAAACTGTATCCAATGCGGTTTAATTGTGAAACAGGATACTGTACTGAGTGCTAAAAGTGTTGGACCCGGATGGTGTTGAATTTCGCTGGACACCGTCTTCATCGGCGAGGTCTAACTTCCTGTGTTGTTAATACATGTTAAGTAAACTACAACACACATACGTATACATTATGTGTTCCAAAATAACATTGCCATTGGACGTTTGATAAAATATATGCAAAGAAAATAACAACTTTCAGCGCTCCATAAGTCTAAAAATATCAAATTATTTATTAGCATGCTTTCTACAGCTTTACTGGCCTGAAAATGACTCATCTCACAAATGTTCTAAATCTTCCATATCATGATTTTAAGTATTTCTATTATGTATTTTGGTCAAGAGTCATCACGCGCACTGGAAGAAGGGAACACATTACTCCTGTACTGCATCAGCTCCACTGGCTACCTTTGGTTTCGAAATATATACTAGTGATGGTATTCAAATGTCTCCATGGACTCGCTCCAGCATATCTCGCAGACCTCGTTAAACCAGCCAACACGACATCTGCGGTCACAAGATCAACTGCTTCTCTGTGTCCCCTCCAACAGAACCAGAACATTTGGAGACAGGTGTTTCGACACATACGGACCTACTCTGTGGAACAGTCTGCCATTCAACCTGAGATCACATCATGAACTGTCAGCGTTCAAAGCAAATCTAAAGACTTACCTCTTCGGAAAGGCATACGATGTTCCTCAATAAGGACCCTCAACAAGTCTCTCAACTGTTAGTTCCTAGCTCAGTATAGCGCTTTTGAGTGGTTCTACCAGATCCTAGCGCTCTACAAATATTTTTATAGATAGATAGATACATAGATCTCCCCTTTGCTATGGCAGGTATCGCCATAATGTTGACATTAGAATCTCAGTTGTTTTAGGGGCTATTATTGATTAAAGTATCTGCGAAATCGCTATGGTCGAAGTAGTACTAACGAAATTCAGTACAAATAATAAATGATACTAACCAAGATAAAACAATAGGTCTTAGAAGACTTTGTCTAAATAATAAAGATCATATAATTTTGATGTTTGGAGTGAAATTATAAAATATTTATCTTCCAATTAACGAGAGCCAAAAATATAAATGAGATTCTTTCTACTTCACGGGATGAGATGGTTGTCTCTCTTCGAAGTAAAACAATGCATGTTGTTCACATCTAATATATACCTGTGTATAAGGGATTGAAACGGAGGAAGTAAAACGGGGAACATGGTATTTTAGTAAGAAATAAAGTCTGTATATGTGCTATACATGTACATGCACATACTAATGGTTCAAATAAATCAGACCTGTTTTATATGATATTGTACAGAGTTAAACAGCCATTGTACCCACTTTAGGAAACAGTTACTGATACATGCATACCGGGACTACAGACCATAGTTCCCTGAAAGAGGTCGACTTTACTTCCAATACATCAGTTGTTTTCGTCACGATATGGCTGAGATATTGCCGATGTGACGTTAAATATTAACTCACTCACTCCATCACCAACGGCTGAAGGTAGGGTGTAAATCCAACTAGGGTCCATGCAGGTAGCAAAGGTACTGTAAGTCCCCATGGTCCCTAGTATGGTGATCTACCTCAGTTGTTGGCGATCTATAGCCTATTTTTATATTGTGCTGCCCCCTATAAGTGAAATGTTTTAGATTTAATTACCAGTTTTAATTTCGAATCTGTGATAATCTAGTTATTTTACTGTCCTTCGTTGACAGGTTTTTACAGTTTACCATTAGTTACTATGTAAACAAATAATTGTTCTCGTCACGATATGGCTAAAATATTGCCGATGTGACGTTAAATTGTAACTCACTCACTCACTCACTCCAATACATCAGACATCAGTTTTATAATTAAGTATAACACTCAGTGTTTAGATTTTTCATAGTCATGTAACACTATATGCACTGTATACATAAAAGAGGCGTAGCACAAAACAAGGTATACAAGCTTTACGCTAGTGTTCATAATACTTTGTACCAATATTAGAAGTCAGTAAAACCACTATTCATACCCGCAATAAACTCCTACTCATGTTTATCTTTTAATTCTTATTATGACCTTACACATACCTGGGCTTGCTTTATGTAATGAAGCGAAAAGTGGTAAAATCAGAAACAAAGAATAGTATTGACAAGCATAAAGACGATGAACATTTACATAAACATTATCAGTGTTCCTGATAAATTTGCATACGTTTACATAGTCTCATCATAAGCACCTACTTAACGCCGACTTTGCATCGTTTGAAATCTTCCAAAAAGGGTTTAGGTTTGTACATTTTAGCCAGCAGTCAATCAAACGTGCGTTGCAGTAATGCCATTAGACGGTAAACACGAAGTTGAGCGCTCAACATACTAACTTATGCGCCCAAGATACAACTTGTGCGCTCAAGATACTAATTTGTGCGCTCAAGATGTTAACTTGTGCGCTCAAGATGTTAACTTGTGCGCTCGATATTAACTTGTGCGCTCAAGATACTAACTTGTGCGCTCAAGATGTTAACTTGTGCGCTCAAGATATCTAACTTGAGAGCTCAATATATTAACTTGTGCACGCAACATACTAATTAACTAGTGCGCTCAAGATTAATTTTATTTCATCAGGTCCCTTCAGCGATTCCGTAGTAAACAGTACCTTTAAACAATATGAAATATTTTGCCAAATTTAGTTAGAACAGTTGCCTAAAGCAAGTGGCTATATTTACACTAGTGTGTGGTGAGTCTAAACTTACATGTGAATTGCTACTTGTGCTTTGCTCGCTGGTCCGTTTAACATGTTAATATTACCGTGCAGTTCTAGCAACCGTACTGTGGAGTCCCGCCCGAAGGAAAACGTATATTAGCATCATTATTAGTAAACGAGGAGCAAAACAAATGTTGCCAAATCCACTATTCTGACTGACAGAGACGTGTTAAACTCGCTCTCAATGACTCCCCGATTTCTAAGGCTGTGGCCTACATTTTTCGTTATCTGTCAAAAGTATGGTTTTGTTTGTTTGTTGTTTAACGCCGCACTCAGCAATATTCCAGCTATATGGTGGCGGTCTGTAAATAATCGAGTCTGGACCAGACAACCCAGTGATCCACAGCATGAACATGCTTCTTACAAGCATGGTTTGCTGAAGACACATTCTAACCTGGATCTTCATGGATTCTGTAAAAAGTTCATGTTTGAACTTTGAAAGGACTTCGTGGTGTCTAGGACGGACGACGAGCAGCCAATCAGATGAACACTTCATGGTCGCTGTGACATACACAATATCATTTCCTCGCACTTACAGGCAGCAGTTGTGTAAATTAAAGGTCACAGGAAGCGAGATCTTTTAACTATGACTTCCGTACAAAGGTCAGACTCGCTATTAGCTTCAATATGCAAGGCTATACGAACTTCGGGGATTCCCCCTTCTCTGCTTGATGTGTGTGTGTTTGTGTATGACGTAGTTAGGCTGTCCCTATAAAGTGAGACATCGAAGTTGGATTCATATGTGTGGGATGTACAGGCATTTACAGCCAGGTAAGGTATAATCGAGATCTTCTTCCGATCCTACAAGGATTTGAACTTTATGCGTCATTGTTCGTATTCCTGGTGATGTATGGAAGGTTTAGCAGCGTTTTGATACGTCATTCTGATTTGCATATGACTGAAAATGTTACGTCAAAAGGTAGTGTTATTAGCCCCGTGCTTTTCAATATTATGATAAATGACCTCTTTGAGAGGCATTCTAGAAGTTGCAAGTAATAGGAATGACAAGTCTTTATGGATGATCAACTTCTTTATTGCATGATTATTGTTTATTATTTTCAATCATGAAAACGGTATCAGTATCAAAACCGAAACGTCGCTATAATCAATAAAGCAGTTGATTATCTATAACCTCATGCTTGAAAACGGTATCAGTATCTATACCGAAACGTCGCTATAATCAATAAAGCAGTTGATTATCTATAACCTCATGCTTGAAAACGGTATCAGTATCTATACCGAAACGTCGCTATAATCAATAAAGCAGTTGATTATCTATAACCTCATGCTTGAAAACGGTATCAGTATCTATACCGAAACGTCGCTATAATCAATAAAGCAGTTGATCATCCATAACCTCATGCTTGAAAACGGTATCAGTATCTATACCGAAACGTCGCTATCATGCAACAAAGACGTTGATCATCCAAAAAGACTTGTCATTCCCATGATAAATTACATTTCCAAAAATTATCGTAGATCCAATCTTTATTCAATACTCAAAGGCCACAGACCTATAATACAATATATGGTAGTGGTATATAGAAGACATGTATACATGTATACGGTATTATTATGTTTGATACAATTGTGACGTTCAGACGATGCTCGATGGCGATTATTCTTTTGTGAGTTTCATAGCATGATATATAAACATAGCAACATTCTGAATCATACCATGGTTGTTGCAGTTTCATAAGGAGTAAAATTTATGTATGGATGGATGGACATAATAAAAATTTTAAGGTACTTTTACGTAGTTTATCATATAATGGACATACGAGCAAAAAATGATATTCGTTTTCTAAGACATGATAGTGCATGATTTACATAACCTATCTTCTCTTTTTATCTTCATAAATCTACCTTTTTAAATCCACATATCATGTGATGAGCAGCGATGTGTCAATACAGGCACTCTCGTCGTGGTAGTAGCCGTTGGTCTAGTAGGAGTTGTCAACGGTTGCGTACACTGGGCAAAAGGAGCAATCGGTTGTAGATGGCATTGTCATCTTGCACAGAATAATTTGTGTTTAGATTGCTTTTCTTATTAGAAGGGTGCATAAAACTAAAGTACTGTCGGAAATAGAAAAAAACAACTGTTGTTTTGCATTATATCTACAATTTATGTACTTGATATGTGAAAGCGTGAAATATCTGTTAAACTAGGTTCGGCCTAACTACGGTTCCAGTGGTAGGGAGATAGGAAACGTACAAAAGAGACTTTACTGAGGAGAGATTAGTGCAGAAATGAGCAATGAGTCCAAAGCGACTTATTTGGAACAGACCATGGCTTTATGCAAATTAGTGTGCGATGATATTGTATCACAAAGGACACTTTTTAAATGTCCATTTTGAAATTAGACTTAGCTTCATTATAAACGATAACTGACGTAAAACATAATAACATTCATGCTGAAACCATTAAGGATGTAGCTACCATAGAGTCTCACTATCACTATAAAAAGAAACAGGTAGGAAGGGTCGTCTCAAAAGCAAAACCAGGACGGGTGTAGCAGACGATGGTATCCAGTCCTGTCGATCTTCGGGTGGTCAAGTCACCTATATATTTTGAGACATTTAATACGATGCTTTTCTATGGGTATCAGGTATCACACTCTTTCACATATCTCAACATAAACTTTATGAAAGAAAGACACGTCAGATGTTAATCAATAGATGAGACATATTCAACACACACGAAAAAACACAAAATATCTTTGAGATGACCCTTGTGCCAGCGCATGCATTTCATACCAGGTGAGTCGACGGTCCGTCGTCATACCTGGCTGAGCGACCCAACTGCCATCTATAGTCTGATCTGTTGTTTTCAGCAGCTATTCGTATTTTTTCTAAGTTTTGCCCGATTTTACGAATAAACATGCTTTTCTGGATATCCTCTAACGCATCCCACTGAATGTCCAGTTAGGCCAAAATGAGTTATTTCGACATGTCCTATTTGCAGTGGTGTAAATTTTAGGGATATAGATCAACAGCCTAAAACCAGTTTTTTTTCTATTTCCGACAGTACTTTAGATGACATACCGTGGGTTTTGTTTCGTTATTATACCAAGCAGTTTCGAGGAGTCGTCAAACACTTGTCTCGGCGTCCTGGGCATGTACGCCAGGTCATTCACCCCAACGTGGACGATGATGAACTGGAAACAATATTAAATTAAAGCTCACTTCAGAAATGACTCGATTTGGGCAATCAAAACATAAAATACGTTTTTTAGCATGCAATATCCACTATGATGGGTATATTATATTAAGTAAATTATATTGTGTTTGAGTAATCCTCATTCTGTGCAAAATCCTACATTCTTCAACTGTTTCCTACCTTAAAGTTCTCCATGTCCCACAAGAGATCGGGAATGTCAGCCACCTTGGCTCCGAATAGAGACCTTGTCACGATCCCTTCCTTCTGCTTACAACGTCGACATACTTCAACAACGAGTCGCCAACAAGTAATGCAGACATTTTCAGATCAGATACTTTGAAAATAGGCTGCTAATGATGATAATGATTATAAGTTTTACGTCGGCTTCTGGCTGTAGCCAATGTCGCCGATGGGATAGGTGGGAGCTAGTATAATAATTAATATGGTTTTAAAAAGGGATAAACCACCATACTCAAAAAAATGCAAATGATGGGGCGTTAACCTAGATGGAATTTAAAATAGAAAACGTTTAAGAAACATGGAAGGAAAATAAATGAAAAGCCGATGTTATGAAGGGAAAGGAGTAAAGAAACCCAGCAGTATTTGTTAATAAATGAGAGCTAGAGTTAAAACTAAATAATAGATGTAAATCGGGGCCATGAATGGGGTGGGGTGGGGATAGGGGAGGGGAGATTGCTAAGGGGTATAGCATAGTGGGACATATGAATGAGTGCAGGTAAGCTGCATAATTTAAATAAGGGGATTATGAAAGAAAGAAAAAGGGGTTAAATTGGTGGGGTGGGGGTGGGGTGGAGGTAAGGGGAGAGCGAAGAAGGCAATGAGACAGGGGCCGTGTAGGCAGCGTGGGAAATGATTTTTTGCCCTGTAGAATAATGGAACAGCCCAATTATCAATGAAGAAGGGGTGTGTCGTTTGGAGTAAGGTAGTAGTAGTTATTTGCTTTATTTAATGTTGCACGCACAACTAATTAAGGTATTTCGGCGACGGAGTAGTACACTTATTAGGATATGAGGGGAACAAAAAATATAAATTTTGAAACAGTGGTGTTACTACCCCCCAAAAAAACAAAAACTGAGTATTAAGAGAAATTGGAATGGGATGCCGAATTAAAAAGGTAAAAAAATAATATGAAATAGGTAAAGAGTATTAGAGATTTTGAATTTGATATAGATGTGGTGTAGTAAATGGTTATTTACAAAAATTATCAAATACATTTTATCTAGGTCCCGTCACATATCGGAGTCCATGGCAACGAAATGGACATCCTTGTCATTTGTGTGTATTTGTGAAACCAGTAAACGACTGTAAAACGTATCAATGTTTCATGATATATCCATGTCTCCATGTAAAGACGGAGAATTCTCAGAATGAATAAACCAACCAACACTTGTCATTTTTTAAACTTCTGTAGGCAGAGTGGGAAGACACCATAGAACAGGTCTGTTCATTAACCAAGTAACTGGTCAAGTTCATTTTAGCAGGGATAGAACAGGTCAGATCCGTGGATTCGAACTTCACTTCCTGATCACTGGTCCCTATCATGTTGTTTTAACCTGTAGGCAGTTTGGAACTGTAGGCAGTATGGGAATACACCGCCTAAATTGATGTGGCTCTCCCGGCAATAATTACGGTTGCATGAACATGGAATGTGACTCTCCCGGCTTTGCTGTCAAAACATCCTTAGAGGTTCAAACACGTTACCGTATTTAACAAAACAAGATATGTTTCCTCATAATTTCATTCAGATCACAACAGGTTTTGTTTCTATGATTAGCACAATATAATTACTAATAGGTATATCACATATAATGATAATATCACATGATAATAATAAATCTTAATATGTAAAACATAATAATAATAATGGTTTAGTTTGTTGCCATGTGTACAAACAGATAAAATGGCGTAAGATCACAAAACATTCTTTTTACACTCAACCTCTGTGAGAGAAAGCTCACGCTGAAATGGCCTTTGCTATCTCGTAAACGTTAGGGTGGCACTTCTGGACAAGTCTCTTTACCTTATTGTGCCATCCTTCTAGGTTATTGTTAGAATAATCAGTTAGATTAATCTTAATCTGGGATTGTCTTTTACCGGTATTGCGATATTGAACGTGTTCATCTTAAATTCCTTAAATTAGCCACCGGTCTGAGATATAACACCCCGAACTTTATGGTTTATGGAGAACTTGGAAGACAACCTATTCCGCTCCAAATCTCTAAACAATTAATTACTTATTGGTGCAAATTGATATTTTCCCATCCAAACAACAAAATAGCAGCTTTCATTCTAGATTATATAATGGATGATGCTCCCTGGCTAAATCACGTGAAACATATATTTTGTAAATGCGGCTTACCAGATGTATTTCTAAACCCCTTTCATTATACTCAATCCTGGATCATATCAAAATCTGAATCGCAGTTAACTTAAGATGAATTCCATTACATGTTCATATTTTAGACAACAACGCATCACTCACCTAGATGATAGCTCTTCTTCCTTCCCTAATCTCTCTACATATTAAAAAATTGATGTCAAATACTAAAATTTCAACAATCAACCATCTATCTAAATTTATCAAATGTAT